GCTCAAAACCCTCAGTTTTTTACACTTTTGACTTCGAAATGTGCTTCGCGCCACAACGGCGTGCACTTTTTTGACACTTTTTCGACATCTGAACTTCCAAAAGTGGTCCGAGACCGTCAGTTTTTAACACTTTTGACTTGGAAATGTGCTTCGCGCCAAAACGGCGTGCACTTTTTCGACATCTCAACTTCCAAAAGTGGTCCGGACCTGGTGTGTTTTGTACATTTTGACTTCGAAATGTGCTTCGCGCCACAATGGCGTGCACTTTTTCGACATCTCAACTTCCAAAAGTGGTCCGAGACCGCCAGTTTTTAACACTTTTGACTTCGAAATGTGCTTCGCGCCACAACGGCGTGCACTTTTTCGACATCTCAACTTCCAAAAGTGGTCCGAGACCGCCAGTTTTTAACCCTTTTGACTTGGAAATGTGCTTCGCGCCACAACGGCGTGCACTTTTTCGACATCTCAACTTCCAAAAGTGGTCCGAACCTGGTGTGTTTTGTACATTTTGACTTGGAAACGTGCTTCGCGCCACAACGGCGTGCAATTTTTCATCGCTCCTGTGGCCAGCTGGCTCCGCACCCGCCGCTTTAGCGAGCCTACGAGCCTACTTTTCGACCCTCCGGAGCCACAAATCATTGGAAAAACACAGTGTTTCGCGACTTTCCTACCTTTTCGCGCATCTGCATCTTCTTTCTTCCTGACTCTTTCTCTTCTGATCTTCTCTCTTCTAATCTTCCTCTTCTCTCTGCCTCTGCCCTGCTCTGCTTGTCATCTGTCCATATTGTCGGAAGTTTGACTTCTAAACTTCCTTCGAATATTTATGGTTAGACTGTTAGACCGTTAGACCGGTTTAGAATCTTGGTGGGATATCATGAAATAACACGATTTTCCAGATTTCCCACAGCTGCCACGTGTCCTACCACCGAGATCATCAAGGGCTCGGCATCCTGAAATCATGCTTGACACAATTGGACAAGTGCCGTCGTCAGGATCTCAACACAAAGACTACTGGGAGCCGCTGAAAACTGCCTCATGACTGGAGCCTAAGCCTAGGGGAAAAAAAAGCGAGTTGTTGCGCCGCGAAGTTTATTTGTTTCACAATGTTTCATCTATATTTGGAGCTGTAGGCAGATCAAGTCGATTCCTCTCCCCAGTACATAGATCTCCGATGCTGTCACTATATCGCATCCAGATTGACGTGTTGAGAACCAAATTTGCTGATGATGTTTGGACATGGGATCGAAAGACACTGCGTTTCGTAGAGTTCCGCCATGTTGATGTTCTAGCAGTGATTTGTTTTCAGCAGCCGTTGCTTGTTTTGGGTGCCTACCTTTCAGCGTTTCCAGCCAGCCTGCATCCCTGAAGTTTGATGTTCGTTGGTATTAGTTGTTCATGTTTCTAGTGACTTTGAACAAGTGTCATTGATGTACAATGCCAAATATCTTGCGCAGTACCCTTCAGTAAACTAATTTATAGCTAGACATAGCACATAGCTATGGAACATGAATGAAAATGCCCCATTGACCCATTTACTTCGATGATTTACCCCTTACAATTACCAGAGGCCCTCATCCGATCCCACATCGACGAGCTGCCCGGGTTCTACTCGGATCCCGCCCGAGCCATAGCTGGATTTGTGGCTGTTGATCCCGACTCCCTGGTAAACTAACATAGCCGTAACATAGCTATCGAAAATCCTCATGTTGATAGATTTTGATGGGTAAATCAACTATTTCTACGGGCCAGGTTCAATAGATATATTAAATTACTGGAGGGTAAATGGATGTAAATGTTGCAACATTGCCATATTGACCATTCTAGGATATATTCTAGGGTCTCCATGCTGCCTGAAATAAAAAAAACGTGCATCGGGGCCCAAATGGTTGTGCTACCCTGTTCTTGGATGTGAAGACTGCACACCTTATCCATTGGAAGCCGGATCGTGCCAGCTTCATTTGACCAGGTTTTGTCTCAAAATAGGTGGGGTGGCACAAAGGCAATTTCATTGGTGAAACCAGCTTTTCTGGGTCGTCCCATATCCCCTGGCTACGTGGGTGGGCAGATCGCCAAGTGCCAGTCCCAAAAAAGTCCCTGGGCCTTGTGGAAATCCCTCCGAAATATCCTTGGATTCGAAGTTTCTTTCTGCTTTGGGAATTATATGGATCCCTTCCCCCTTGTACATCATCACATGCCATGGGTCGACCCCAAACATGAACAGACCTAAAGCACTTGCAATTCTACAGGGGAAATGATGATCAACCACCAGATTTTGGACACCATACTTGGGAGAGGCTGGGAACTTAGGAACTTATAAGTTAACTTAGCGGGAACTTAACTTAGGCCTATGTTAAGTTCAAGCTAAGTTCAAGCTAAGTTCAAGCTAAGTTAGCTAAGTTCTTTATATGTTTATTTTGCAAAAAAACAGTTTTCATGCATTTCATCCCCGCGGCAGCATTTTTTTTTACGACATGAGCCAAAGCAGCTTGTCATGGTCGCTTCTGTGAAACATTATCTTATTTGTGGGTTTCATCTCGCTCGCGGCAACCAATGTCATGCTTCCCTTGGCTGCAAGCCATGCCGTGCGACCAACATCGGTGCGCAAAGCGGCTTGGAAGACCTTGACTTGAAGGTAAAATTTGTCATTGCAAAGCCATGCACCATGGACTTGCACCGCGTGGGTCTCCGTCAGCTGCACGAATTGATTTTGGACATATTTGACCCCTTCAATTTGAATTCCTTGGGCAAACAAACTTGGGGATGCAAGTCCTGGAAAAGCTTTGCTTTTGGACGTTCCCAACAAGCATGTGCCAAGCAGAGAAGCATCCATGGCTGAATGCAATTCACGCGTGACAAGTTCCAATAAACAAGTCTGCGCAAAAAAGGGAGCCAAAAAAGATTTTTGAGCCAGGCGCTTGTACCCCTTATGTTTTCGCTCACAGCAAAAACAATCGATGAATTTTTGCACCTTTTGAATCTGTTGACTCAGGTGAAGGCCATAATGTGCCTTTGGTCTGATGTGAGTTGCTTCGTAGGCTGCAACATGACATTGGAAATGTTTCTGCTGCAAAGGCAACAGCTCCTCGACATCTTTCACCGTGATTTTCAATGTCCACAGACACAAAGCCACGCGATGCAGAGCAGTTAAGGAGGCGTTAAACACACGCATCTCCTCCATGTCTTCCAAGACCTCATCGCAGAAAGCCACGCAGATGGGTAAGACTGCAGCAGCATAGAGTGCGTCCCCTCTATAGTCTTGGCCCTCCTTACAGAGTTTTGAAGAAAACAGCTGGGAAGGACATGCCGGCAGGTGGTCCATCGCGGATCCGACATTGCGTTGCCATAAGGCGGCATAGGCCTGCAGGCTTAGCAACGTCGTAGATGTCCGCTTAACGAGCTCAGAAAACCATAGCCCTATCTCCTGGCAGACTAAGCCATTCGACCACATGATGTGCATTGCATCATACATGAAGTTTTCTATGCTAAGCCATCCTTGGAGGACGGGTGATTGCAGTGGACCATGCAGAAGACTTTGGAAGTGCCACCCTAAAAACTTTTCCGTTTCTTGGGTTCTGACAACTCCAACTGTCTCACGCAAAGCCTGCACGGCTTCTTCGATCGTGGCTGTTGTTTGTGGCCACCAAGCGCCTGGATCCATGGACGTGATATCCACGTGTCCCCGGACATTGCTTGCTTTGCCTAGCTGCAAAACATTCAAACAGCGTAGACACGGCTTCAGGCCACTTGCGCCCTTGGCGCCTGTGCATGAGCGAAGGGCCTCAGCGTCTGCAATGACCATGACTTTGTCAATCCACAATAGCCGGATATCTTCCCCAAAGCTAAGTGGGATGCCATGTTGTGACCCTGCACGGACGTGCTCCAGGATCCGCTTGATGACCTCAGCCATCCCATGTGGCACGCTTTGAATGCAGGAAGACTTGGCAACACTCAATGTTAGCCACATGTTCTCTTGGAACAATAGCGGACATTGCAGCCAGGACACGTAACACAGATTCGACTTTCTACTCTGCAAAGCAGACAAAACATTCCCACCTGACACTTCGTCACAGTAGAATAGCAATGTCAGACGGTCCTGATGAGCAGCCATGGCTTCACGCAGCATGCCGCTATACAAAGGGCAAGCATTGATTTTTGCTTGAAGCAAATCCGGCAGCTTCATGATCGGAATGCGCACGGCTGAGCCATCTGCACCCGTCAGAGCCAGGTGCTCGTAGCACGGAAAGGCTTTGACATGTGAACTGGCCCGACTCATCGTCTTGCAAGCATTGAATTACTTTGCGGCTGTCAACACAGCTCAAACCGGTGCTGCGAAGAACTTCAAACTGCTCTTGCTTGGAAGCATGGCTATCTAATTTACGTCGCTTCCTATCGTCATCTTTCATGCTGTGTTACTTGAGCCGCTACATACAGGCAGTGAAGCCGCTCTCAGAAGTAGCCACACAACATCGGTCATGTCATGCTTCGGTCACACTTTGTGCATGATTGCTCTTCAAATTTTAACCCTGTACCAAAGTCTCATTCAGCCATATAAAATCCTCACGACAGCGAGTGGACGAACAGTCACGTGTTTTTATTCTTTTCACACTAACTATGTATATTTTGCATTCTACAGATTTTCCCATTTATTCTGCCCATCATCAAGTGAACTTAGATTATGGTTACCCTATAGAATAGGAGATACAAGCCGTGACAGATAAGATACTAGATGCTGCAACAACGTATGAACCGCGTCAGCACCCTTCCACCAGCATTATATTATATGCATCCTGTGTGGTGCCCTGCCGCCGTTCGTGCATGTCCAAATGAGGATCAGCTTTTTTTCACGCACACGAAAGGAATCTCGGCAGTTATTTCCCCCAAAGTCTACCGGCTCCCTATACATGAAGACAACATTCGGTCAGATCGTTTTGACACGTATCACGTAGATACGAAAAAAACGACGACCAATGGCACGAAGGCCAATCATAAGAGAGCTTTATTTTGACGACGTGCGTCAGCTCATCCGTGCTCCTCAGGCGGCAGTCTTCATTCTGCGACGCTTCGGTTTGCTTTCCTCTTCTCCAGCAGGCGGCGCCGTGCCTGCCTCTTCCCGACCACCGTCATCCGCCGGCTTCGGCGTGGCCTTGGCCTTTGCCTTGCTCTTAGGAGCCGGCAACAAAGGACGCAAACTTTTCTGCACTTCAATGCAGGTCTTGTGCAACATCTTCACCTCGTTGAGGTCAAAGTCCAAAGGAGGCTGCGCCTGCTGACCCGACTGCACCTCCGGCTTTTCTGCTAGCTGCATTGCCTGCTTGCAGGCTCCTGTCCAAGCACTTAGCTGCTCCAGGCTTTTGGTGGTGGTCTCCAAGATTCCCTCTGGAATCTCTTGCTGAATGCGATTCTTCAGCTTGGAGACTGCTTGCAGGTCGCTGCTCAAGATGCCCACGGATTTCGCGGCCGTCATGGCAACCTTGCCATTCACACCCGCAGTCTTCTTGGCCAGCTGCAAGGCTTTCTTCTCAGCATTTTCTTCTGCCTTTTCCGCTTTCTGACCCTGAGACTTTGGAGGCTCTGGCACGTCCATTTCCTCGTCATCTCCGTCGGCTGGTTTTTTCTTGCCCCGTTTCTGGGTCATTTCCCTCTCTTGACGAAGGATTCTCTCTTGGATCTCGTGATGAGCCTCCTTCCAGGTTTGGCTCTTCACAGGAACTCTGTAGAGAAGCGTGCCGAGCGCCTCGTCTTTCTCGCTCGGGCACCCCTCAACGATTTCCTTTTCCCAGCCTCTCGTCAGCCAAACGCTGAGAGGAAGGCTTTCGGTCTTGACTTTCGCTTCGTTCGAGGTGACCTGCTTCGTGGTCAGCGTTGTGATCAACTGTGCACGGACAGTAACCCAGGGCAAAGCGCTGCCTCCTTGCGCTGCTTTCTCCTTCTGGAGACGTTGGAAGAACTTCCTTTGTTCTTCGGGCTCCAAGGCTTGCAATTCACTTTTGTCACCCAGTCCTCTGCGGAGCTGCTTGTCAGCGGCCGCACACGAGTGACACGTGAATTTTTGCCCATGGAGCCTTCCATTGGAGAGCGCGTACAGCAGTCCACATAGGACACACTGCACCTTGGCCGCTGCTTCGGCAGGTTCCGCCATAGCTAGCAAACGACCACGGAGAGCACAGCAACACCGAGGCACACGGAAAACACCCAACCTTCTGAGCCAAACGTTGCGGACATACTTTGCACAGACCCCAGGCTACAACGGCAAACCCTGTTTTCAATAGTTCCACTCCGACAGCCGCGGACACGGTCACATCCCAACTAGGAGCTCGCGGACACGCGGACACAGACAGACCTACAGTTTAAAGTTCTACAGACCTGACCTACCTATTGCCTATGAACCCGCGGACATCGACGCGCGGACAGCTCGGAGAACACCTTTTTGCGCGCGGACAGGCGCGGACAGACGCGGACGGTTCGCGGACACGGCATCCTACCTACAAATGAGGAAAGTCCTCCCTCACAATTGCTTCCACGTGCCTGCGAGCAGTCTCTATCCAGCTCGCCTCGGGCAGCCAGGTGATGACTCGGAGAGCGTCCAGGTCTGCCAGAGCCAACCGAAACGTCTCTTCTGGGCTCTCCTCCAAGTCATCTGACCGAATGGCGGCTGACGAGCCGGATTCTGACCATTCCAGCGCGTGGCAGCTGATGGTCACGAAACCAGAGTCAGGCAACGCTTCCCAGTGACCTGGGCAATGCACGATGATGTAAAGCAAGTGCCACAAGCGCCTGAGCTGATATTCGTCGGTGAGGCAGCGCGGCTCTGTTTGCTGTGCTCTAGCTTCCGCAAAATCGAGCACCTGCTTCAGCCGCCTGCGCCTGTCCCACCAGTGGCGCTCCCACCTATCATCTGTGGCGGCAGGATCAGATAACTCACGTAGAGTTTCTCGCATCGAAGCCAGCTTCTGCTTGGTGACATTGAAGGTCAAGTCTGTGTAGGGCATCCTCTGCAGCAATATTCCATGCAGGACTACCACTGTATTGTCTTTGAGCCAGACGCACGTTTGCATACATGGCTTCTGCCTCATACGTGTCGACGCACGGAACCTGTTGCTTAGCATGTAGAAACACGTACTCAACCAAGTGCCGTCCCAAACCCAGGTACTCCGACGCCCCTTTTTTTCACTCCGTTACATGTGCGGCTACAGTGCAGCACGTCAGTCGCCAGCTATATCGACCAACCCGTCTGCATCACAAGGTGATGTTAATGGTAAGCTGCTTGGGCGTCTTGCTTCCACCATCTTCCGGAGCTGCTTCACCCACTCGTGGTGGAGGTGCAGACCATCCTCGCGGTGGTGATGGAGGCTCCGGCGGCGGCATGTGGCGAGATGACGTGGCGCGTCGCACCGGACGTACCGGTTCAGACTCCACAGGCACCTCATCCCACTCCGGTTCCGCCTCACGCAAGAGCACAGGCGATCGCTCCCGGCGTCGCCGCTTGGGCGGCGTCCGAGATCGCCGATCATCCCTCGAAGGGCCAGCTCCCATTGACACATGCCTACCAGCTTCCGGCCACTCCTCTCTGGTTGGAGCGCGTCTGGCTGGATGCGGCGCTCGGCCACCTTCTTCCAGGCGTTTCTTGTGCACCCCCTTCGCGTCTCTTTGCGCGCGTGCCCACGCACCTTCTTGGTCCTGCTCTTCTTTTGTCATCTGGTTAAAGAATTGATACGTGAGACAGGGGATTGACATCCATTGGTGCTGCTTGCGGCCAGACAAATGCTTTGTCAGCGGTTGACCGCAGTGCTCGCAAGGAGGCCTCTCCGGGTCTGTCACCGGCTCGGCCGCTTGGACCGGGGACTTTGCATCTTTCATAGACGAAGTCCGGCGCTCCCTGCCTTCCGGCACATCACTGCGTTCTCGGTCCGCTCCGCGCTCACGACGTGCGTGAGAAGGCGACCGGCGACGCCGACGCTTGTCGTCACTTGACTCCGTTCGGTTCGTCTCCGAACGTTGCCGTCGACGACGGGCACGGGACTGCGACTTCCGGGCACGTGTCCCTTTAGACTCCTTACGCGCATGCCTCGCAGGAGAAAAGGGCGACCGCGCCAAAGCCTCGGCATCCATATAGCCTGGCAAACAGCAGACACAGAGAAAACAACATGAGAGATATATCCGGAAGAATATCAGCTTTCCACTCTTATACCCTATATATTAAAGACGACACCGACGGACCAAGGCAACTTTGCCGCGCGTAGCGGCTGCCCACGCAGGGCCAGATGTGCATACATTTCAGTCCGCGTAGGACCACCGTTGCACGTAGCAACCGGACCGCGTAGGTCCGAGAGGCCCACGTAGGGCAGACCACGTAGGTCTCATAGACCACGTAGGTCTCATAGACCACGTAGGTCTTGTATGCACACCGTTCCGCGTAGGAACGCGCTCTCTGTGGACCACTTAGGTCAGAGCATGACGGCCTCCGATCGGTATCGCGTAGATACCGCCGAACGCCAAGGGACCCACTCAGGGAAAGCGAGAACCTTCACATCATCACGTAGATGAGACCACGTAGGTCCTGCCGCATAGGCAGCAGGGCCACCATAATCTCACGTAGAGATATGTCACCCCGCGAGATTCTCACGTACCGACACATACCCGGAAACAAGAGACGAAGACAAAAAAAAGGGGACATTAATATATGGAACCTATGATATATGTCTTTCACTCACTGTCTCTAATTGTAGTATATATGGGTAAGAGAAGGATCACTTGATGGCCACAAAGACGCGCCTGGCGCGCACCGGTCAGATCGCAGGGCACGCGACGAAACCCAATGCTCTTGAGCCACACACGCTACACGCGGCATCTATATAGGAGATACTCCACAAGGCTAAATCAGCTTCTGTACTTGCTTCTACCCAGCACCCTCATGAAGCATATGGTAAACGCACGCTGCTTTTTTCCAGCTTTCATGCGCGGGACTTCAGAGATCCAATCCGTAGCCACGCATCTGCCAGCAGCTCGGTGTGCAAAAGGTACGCCAATAGCATTTCTGACAGCCATCCCGAAACTGATTCTTCAACTTAGCCGGAACCAAAGCCAGAATCCGCTGGCGCCTGGCCTCACGGCCACCCGGTTCCGCTGGACCTGCCACAGTCCGATGGACAGCACGCTGCGCTGCAGGGCGCTTCAAAACTTTGGCCGCAGGCTTCTTGCAAGATGCAGCCTTTGCTTTGGATGCCTTGCCGGCTCCCTTGGTCTCTTTCTTATTTTTGCAAGACGCACGTAGCGCCTCCAGAGAAGCCTGCACCGTATCCGCCGGCTGCGGCACAGCAGCAGCTTTGGGTGCCTTTTCAGCTTCCTTTGAATCATGTCCATCCGCAGCTTCAGGCTGGCCAGAGCTGTTAGCGGGTTGATCTGCAATGGCCAAGGGGGCAGGTGGCGCCGAAGCAGAAGATGATGCGGCACTTGGCCGGAAAATTTGTAAGCCTGGCAAAGTCCTGCTCTCTTCCCGCCTGACCGCTCCAACCATCATGGATCCAAAGGCGAACAAATCTTGTTTCGTCAAATACTTTTCGCTGTCCACCCGTCCATCGAAGCGTGCACTGGCAGCAATGCTATGCGTCGTACGCATAGGCCAACTCCTGCCACGCGCCACCAAAGCTTGACATTTTGGAACCATAATGGGCCCTTCATCGGGATAAAAGGCCCTGTCCCAAAGAAGCTTTGGAACTTCCTTTGCGTCATTAGGCAAGACCAGCAAGTACACAGGCGGGTCTGGAGCTCTGTCGAAAAACTTCTTCATCGTTGCCTTGTATTGCTCAGTTATTTTCCATCGCTGAGCTTCCATCAGCTGACCATCTCTGTCAAACACACAGGCGAGAAGCAATCCTTGCGTCGCTTCATTTGGGTGCTGCAAACCCAATTTGATACTATGGTTCACCATTTTCTCAAGTGCCACCATGCGATCATCCTTTTCCAAACTCTCCCAAAGACTCATGGGGATATAGTTCAAAAGGGCCAAAAAATCTTGATTCTGCTTTCGAGGCAACTTGGCATCCACCTGGTTGCTGTTTGCCATGGCAGATTTCAAGAAGTCACTTTTGTCCCCCCACAAATCTTCATCAAAGACTTGGAAGACCTTGGCCACCTGCTCCGTTGTCAGCCTAATCTTGCTAAGCCGTGTTTGCAGATGCAAGAATTGCTTTTCTCTTTGTTCGAGAAAGCTCGGAAGCGCTTTCAAGCCGGTCAAAAATTTTTGACCGGCAACAAGCTGCTTTTCAAAAGCCAGGGCCATTCTTTACTAAAATTGAGCCAAAACCACGAAAAAGGCATCAACATCATTTTGTTCCAAAATAACTACCAAATCATCGATTCCACCAATGAGTAACAAAAAACATACAAAAAATGAAAAAAGCTAAGTTCATCCTAAGTTCATCCTAAGTTCATGTCATCCTAATAAAGCTGGAAAGTTAAGTAACTTATAAGTCCCTAAGTTCGAGCTAAGTCATGATGGAACTTAGCCATGAAGTTAGAAAGTTAGGAACTTATACGTTAGGTTATACCATAACTTAAGAAGTTATAACTATACTTATAACTTCCTAAGTACCCAGCCTCTCCCAAGTAGTTTCAGACAAACCCAAATGGTAGCTGAAGCGGTGGAAACCCTTTTTGATGTGCAGCAGATTCTGGTTGGCATGGCTGTTTTGTAGATGTTTTGATTTTCAACCTCGGGAGAAAAGGGGGTGCCTTTCATCATGAGGGGAAATCTTCAGCTACTTTGACTGGAGGTATTTGCATTTGCGTTCACAATATGTAATGCCCATCTGTACTTCCAAACAAGCTGCAATAATAGTGGTTTTCCCAATGTGGTTGGGGATTCTTCACTAGCACAGGAATCAACCATTTATTTCTGTTTTTTTTGGGGTTCCACGTATGTATGAAAGGAATTTTGCCCTCAAATTGCGACCTAACCTCGAACATCGGCTCCAGCTTCCCACCAGTCCTGTCAGATACCCAGGCAGCACGTAGCCCTTGCAGCTGTCTTGGCTGAGGAGACCATAACATAATCCTCGGAAATCGTGTCATGTGGCAAAACATGTTAGGGCCAGGGTGCCATATGGCGAATCCATGTTTGTACTGAGACTGACACACACTCATGGCCAACAAAACATGCAGTGTCAGATTCCTGACCCAGACCCAGTACCATCCCATTCCATCCCATAATTCCATCCCATATTATATATATATATGTATACAACTACTATATATATATGTATATATATATATATGTGTATGATTACCCTCAGCTTGTCACCTCCTCCCATCTTCCAATCGCTGTCCGGCCACTTTCGGCACGCCATGTTGGCAGAAAAGCTGCCAGCGCTTGGTGCAAGACGAGGTGAGGTTTTTGAACCTAAGTTGTTGCTTGAAGAGCCGAGATATATTAGAATGGGTTGTCTTGGGTATTGATTGACAAAAAATCAATGTTAACTTTTAATTTTTAATCATGTGATTTCAATTTTTTCTTAACTCTTAATGGTACTGTCACTGTATGTAACTGTAACACATGTTTGAGGCAAAACAACTTTGTTGCATATAGGTTGACATTGGTGTTACACGATTTTGTCAACTTTATGGGTATGGGGTCATGGTCAGTGCATGTTAAGCAATCTCAACAGACGGTAATAAACGTTCAACAACTGCTTTTTGCCACCAACAACGGGACCCTCCAAAACCATGTGGAAACTATCAATACCTGAAGGCTTTCCCGCAGTTGTTCTCTGTAACAGATGAGATGATGCGTGGGTATTCCGGAAATTCATTTCGAGTGATCCCCACCCTGACACACTTATCTGACATAGTTTCTGACATATCACTTGGAAATATATATTCTGAAATTCTTTCTGGCATATACTCTGACATTGCATTTGACATTCTTTCTGGCACCTATCCTGACATTCTTTCTGACATTATACCTGGACCTGGCATCTATTCTGGCATTCTATCTGGCATGAGTACACAGCCTTGCTCCACAGCATCCGGAGCTGGCAGAAGGAGAAGTCAGAGAGGAGGCGGAGATGAGGACAAGAAGGAGGAGCAGGAGTAGGCGGAAGCAGAAGAAGAGAAGAAGGAGAAGGAGTTGCACCTTTGTTGAAATCTAGTTGACATCTAGAGACCCTCACCTGGCAGGTAGGGAAACATAGAGGAAACAAAGAAGGCAATAAACACCAAGCGTTCGATTACGAGCAAAATTGCAACTTCATGCTGAGGGAATTGATGTTACTTTATACATCTTTATACATGAATTGGGGCATTGATCGGCAGCGAGATCTAAGAGCAGGTGTGGCCATGGAAGGAACGGACCTGGCGGCCATCCATTTGAGGACTGCGATGTGGAGATCCTTTTTTGCCCGAGAGACGTGACATGTTTCATCTAGGGGTGGTCAACAAACTCTGGGAACACAAAGCATACTACCAGTTACTACCCCTATCCACGCAGACCCTGAGTGTAGCAATTTTTGTTGGATCAAGCTATGCCCATCAGTGCATGTCAGTGCTTATGTTTAGATGTCATTGTGAGTCAGCAGGTATTTGACCTGGTATCCATTGCAACATGCTTTGGTTCGCAATTGTGACCAACATTACTTTTTTTTTCTGTATTATGATGTGTATATATATACATGTATATAACTTCCGTTTGTGTTTCCCTTCTCCACCCGTTTGTTGTACCAGTAGTTGTTGTTTTTTTGCCCGCCCGTTTTCTGATAACATGGGGCTCGTGCACCTGCTGTAGGATCAATCGATTGCGAGAGAGATATCGAGCACATGCCGAGGCGGGAGGATTTCTACGACCGCGGCTTGTCAGTGGTTTGACACACTATACCGTCATATATATGAACAACATATACATAGATGCTTATATTTTTTCCCTTGGCTACACTGACAATGGATAGGAAATATTTGGAAATATATAGAAACATACTATTGATGGTTGTATGTTGTTTTGACTACACTATATTACACTTACAGATAGAAATTCTGATCTTTATAGATCTTTGTTCAATGAGTTGGAGGCCTTCTGCGACCCAGGCTGAACACGGCAGCATCATCAACCCCATCACTGGCGAGGAGGCTGGCTGAAGCCCGTTGGAACGGGCCCGGGGCCTGAGTTGAATATATGATCTAGGTAATCTTAGATATGTTATTGTTTTAATAATACACATATATATATATATATATGCGTATAAACTTATATATATATATGTGTGTGTGTGATATCGTGTGATATCTGTAGGATATACGTATATATATATATATGGTCACCCCCCCCTACGACCCCCCAATGTGTCATTTGTATTGTTATTTACAGCATAAAATGCGTATTTTTGGTATTCCATTTTTGTCTTCTTCGTATATAGTCATAACAATACAATATCTTAAGGCACTTTGGGGAAGGCCCCATAGAAACACAATTGACCGCCGACCCAAAATCAAAAAAACATCGGGAAAACAAAAAAAAACAAAAAAAAACAATATTTTCCGACTCCTCTGGGGTCACTCCATGAAAAAACAAAAAAACCTTGAGAAAAAAAAAACAAAAAAAAATAAACAATATTTTCAGACTCTTCTGGGGTCACTCCATGAAAAAACCAAAAAAACCTTGAGAAAACCAAAAAAACTAAAAAAAACAATATTTTCAGACTCTTCTGGGGTCACTCCATGAAAAAACCAAAAAAACCTTGAGAAAACCAAAAAAAACAAAAAAAACAATATTTAGAAACTATCTCGAGGGCCCCCCCCCCCAAAGAATCGCTAAATATTTGAGCTGCGCTATAAACTCTTTATGTATTGGTGAGTAAGGGGACGGTCATAAGGTGGCTTCGCGTAAGCCAAAACTGCAGTGGCGTAAGAGCTGCGCAAGGTTTTTGGCTTTGAATGTTGTGCGTAAGCCTGCGTAAAGCATGCTTGAAAAGCACCTTTTGGCTAAAGAATGAAAGAAACATGAGGGTCAATATGCTTGGTCACGTTGATGACAGTCAAATGGAAGGGAAACCGAGCTGTAAAAACCTGCTGTAAAAAAGAAACAACTGGAATTGCACACACAAGCTTACAACAGATAATTAATGTACAGATATATACAGATATATGATATATGCATTTTTTCCATGTACCTTAATTGGTGGTTCCCAATTTTGAAAAAAGATTGCGTTTTTTCGCGTAAGGAACGCGTAAGGTATGCGTAAGGAACGCGTAAGGCCCACCTGCTTTATCTGAACAGTTGCCCCATGGCCCCGAAACGCCGCCCTTTTTCGCAATTGCAATGGAAACAGCGCAGCCGCATCCTCGCGCAAGTGGTGTCCATCTTCCAAAGTCTTTCAAATGCCATGCCATGCCAGCGCCAAAAAGATCACTGGAAGAAAAACTATCAGCCAAGGCCCGAACTCTCAGCAAGCAGGCTCGAAAGCGTCGACGGCAACAGGCAACATTGAAAGCTGACGGTTCAGGCTCGTCCTCAACATCCTCTTCTTCAACATCTTCATCTTCGGATTCGACAAATGATGAATGACGCACTGAAATACTCTGTTGCAAAAAAGGCCGCGTAAGGAACGTTTCACGAAAAAAGATGATTTTGTGGTGACTTACTTTCGCGCAAGCCTTGCGTAAGCCCATAGAAAGCCCAGATCCCCGCGTAAGAGAAACCCCCAATAGCGTAAGGATGCGCAAGCATGTGCGTAAGCATGTTCTTACGGCCTAAGAATCTATCAAGGTTTCCAGCATGGCTCATTTGTTTGTTTTTTTTTGGTTTTTTGGGTTTTCTCAAGGTTTTTTTGTTTTTTTTCATGAGGTGACCCCAGAAGAGTCTGAAAATATTGTTTTTTTTTGTTTTTTTTGGTTTTCTCAAGGTTTTTTTGGTTTTTTCATGGAGTGACCCCAGAAGATTATAAGAATATGAAAACTCATAATTTCTCCAATATTTCTTAAATGCAAACACTGTCTATCACTCATGCATCTGCCAATCCGTAACTGAACTGTTTCAAATCCAAACTACTGCCTTGACCTGTCTGTCATTCATGCATCTGTCCAGCTTCAACTCAGCCATTTCAATTCCAAACTGCTTCCTGGATCATCGCATTTGCTTCTTCGTTTTTTTTAATTGTTTCATGGAGTGACCCCAGAAGATTATAAGAATATGAAAACTCATAATTTCTCCAATATTTCTTAAATGCAAACACTGTCTGTCACTCATGCATCTGCCAATCCGTAACTGAACTGTTTCAAATCCAAACTACTGCCTTGACCTGTCTGTCATTCATGCATCTGTCCAGCTTCAACTCAGCCATTTCAATTCCAAACTGCTTCCTGAATCATCGCATTTGCTTCTTCGTTTTTTTTTAAATTTTTTCATGGAGTGACCCCAGAAGATTATAAGAATATGAAAACTCATAATTTCTCCAATATTTCCTAAATGCAAACACTGTCTGTCACTCATGCATCTGCCAATCCGTAACTGAACTGTTTCAAATCCAAACTACTGCCTTGACCTGTGTGTCATTCATGCATCTGTCCAGCTTCAACTCAGCCATTTCAATTCCAAACTGCTTCCTGGATCATCGCATTTGCTTCTTCGACATGGCTAACGTGGACGTCAATTTCGTGGAAAGCTTTAGGCATCAACTTGGTGAAAGAGATGGTATCTTGTCTTATGAGGAGGCAATCGTGCAAGTGTCTGGGCAACGGCTGCTCGGACCTCAACAAAAGCCGCTCAAAAGCAACCGGCCGAAGGGTGATGTGTGCCTGATCGACTTACCCATCAGGGACCTACATTCACATGGTGGCAAACTTGAACAGTTTGTGGACATTATCCAAAATCATCCTGTCGAGGGAGAGATTAGCATCAATGCCGACTTCCTTGACAATCTCTTGTACAAGCATGCTGTCCAAGCCAAATACTCAGCTCTTCCCAAACCATTCTGCTTGAAGGCAGAGCCCAAAGTTCCATATAGCATGCAGTTTGTCATCGTGCCGTCCTATCTTCCTCCTGATGAAGATCATGCCTATGTCGACATCTTCAAGCACGTTTACCTTCACAAGAACAATGAATGCATCTCCTGTTGTCACGGAATTCCTGTTCGCTTTGACTGGGGCTCTCAGGTTCGTCTCGGCCTCACAGGTATGAACTACATGCTGGATCGCGTCGGAGGCATGCAGGTGCGATTGTGGACAATTCAGCCCAAGTTCGAAAAGAAGGTGACTTTAGATCAGACTGCTCGTGAGGCAGGGTATCATTTCATTCGAGACCATGGTCCGCGCTCCAACAACAGGAATCAGTTCATGGAGTGGACCGATGAGCAGGTTCATCTTGCCGGTGGCCCCTTGGAAGGATGGCATGAAGGAAAGGTCAAGGAAGCTCTGCACAATTACTATCGCGGGCGGCAAAATGCCAAAACTTTAGAGTATTGGCCCCTGACCCCATCCATCGTCTGATTGGAGGATAGAAATTCCCGTAAACAAATGCAATGTAAAATATACTAGTCTTTCAAAATTAAAAAAAAAATGTTAGTAGGAAAGTCTCAAGCGCAAAAATTTTCCTATTAGCGATTGGTGCGTAGAGGCAGTTTTCACAGCAGCATAAGACCTCAGCTTAGCAAAAGTGATGCTGCCGCGGCAGGGTCGACTCGTTGGTGACTTCAACGTGGTTCTGTGCAGACACAAGTCAAGCATAGTGAAGCAGATGGCGGGTTGAGGGGGGTCGTTGGGGGGGGGCTGAGCATATATATATACACGTATATACATTAATTATATATATACACGTGTAATATTCTTAGGTATGCATTAATTTTAGGTATACATTAAATAGATAAATATATATATATATATATACATTATTTTTATATAGGTATATATATATATATATACCGGGTATTTATACACGGATATATGTATATATATATATATAAACATAAAGCCCTATATACATTGATATAGGTACATATATATATATATATGTATGAGTATTACATTACATAAATGTAATAATTTTAGGTATACATTAGTATATATGTATATATACAGGTTAATATATATATATATATTTATGTATCTCTCTCTATATATATATATATACACACACGTGTTTATAGAGGATGCTGGGAGGGTATTTGAACCGGCTTGTATGGATTGGGTTGCCATACGTTCGTGGAAGACTTGTACGTGTTTATGTTGTTTTAGGTTTGGATAAACATGTTTACCACGTGTCGGGGATTAGAAGCCACCAAGCTGTGTAGGGCTTACAGACTGGCACAATACCAGCACCGAGTCAACAGATATTTTGTTCAAGGGTCCCAAAGGTGAGAAAATGGTGACCATTCCTTTTCAAGATCAGTACAAGCATACTAATCAACATCAGTTGAGTCGATATCAACAATCAGAAACTGAAGAAACAGCAGAAGAGCCACACCCACACATCACCTCAGTTTTTCGATAGATGATGTAGTTGCATGGCAGTAACATTTAGTAATCCAACCAAACGGTCATTGCGGGTGAGTGTCAAAAGGGGCTATGGCTATTACCCTCAAATGGCGAGTTTAATGATGAAAACGATGAAAGACCATCAAATGTTGGGTACGTTATTTTCAGACAGACACGTACACACACACTTGAAAGACCGTATCTCGTCTATGAGTCTTTTCATTCCCAACAGGGCACCTGAACTGATTCTGCTGTTTACATGCTTAGTTCAGGAAGGCCGTCTTTGTCCACATTGGACAAAAGTCGCAGAAATGGGTAAATACGGAAAAATGCGTAACGGACTCCGATTTCTCGAATTATTCATGCATATGATAAAAAATAATAACCGGAAAGTCATCAAAAAGCTTGGATAATGAAAGAACATCGTGACCAACTGCAGGTACGTCAGGGTGATCAGCCCTGATATCCCATCCAAGACCGCAGCTTCGTTGCACACGGTGGGTCAAGGATGCCGTGTGCCCCTGCTTGTAGACCTGTAGAAAACCCAGCTCCCAAAAGTGGACGCAGAAGAGGCAAGAGAGCAGGTCAGAACGTTTTTTTCTACAATGCGTTGCATGCGTTGCGCAATGCTTTTCAGTGAAAAAAAATGGCATGAGGGATCCATTTGAAGTTGTTGTGTCAGAAAGGCATGAGCAGTCACAGAATCAGAAACAGCAGCTCAGAATTCAGTTTTGGCATTTGCACGGTTTGCCTCGGTTATCTTCCCTATGTAGGTTAGCGACCGTTTGGGCGCTTATTAAATATGAATATGTAGGTAGCGACCAATTGGGCGCTTCAATAGAAATAATAAATAATAATGATGACAGTGAAATTGGAAAATATGTTTGTCAGAGCAGCATCAAGTGCTGCAATCTTTTGTCGTTTTGCAACTTGATGGCTCATAGCAGCTTGGAGTTTCAAGTGGAGCTGGCATTGCGTTGCTTTGTCAGGCCGACTAGCTCCCCCCAATTCGAACATGGCAATGGTGTCTGATGCACCAGAGGTTGAGACAATTGAAATTGATGATGAGTGTGTGGATGATGCGTCCCAGTTCGCAAAGGAGTGGCTGGCCAAAATGAGAACCATTCTTCAGAACTATCCAGCTGGCCCAGGAAGCTACTTGGAAGACAAAATGAAAACGGCAGCAGACAAGGCTCGTTTCGCTACTTGGCTGCTGGAAACATGGCCTGAAAGACCAGATATCTGCTATCACCACGACCAAGTAGTTCCCAGTGTGCTGGAAGATGAATTGGCCCAGTCGCCACCACTTGCTATCCATGTGTCGTCCTTCAGCTGGACCGATGGCTGTGGGGTGAAACCTGCTCCAGGACGTGATTTGGCTTTGGGCCTCATGGCAATGTACCTCAAGGATGGCTTCATAACCAGCGGAGATGTGATTCTGATGGCTCAGCCATTGGCAGTTGAGAAGGCAGCTGGTCTTCCCAGCCTTTGGGGATCTGAAGAGTCAGCACTTAAGCCTTTTAGCCTGGGATATTTGAAAGGACGTGCTCGACTTACCAGTCTCTTCGCTCTTCTTTTGTCAGTCTTTGAAGAAGAGGTCTCCTTGGATGACTTGAAAAGCTTCTGCCCGAAGTTATTCGATTCCGTCTCAGTCATTTGGGTTCAGCATATGCGGCAAAACAGCAAGGAAGATGAGGTCTTGTGCAACCTGAAGTTGAGCACGAGAGGATCCCTTAGAAAGGCAGCCAACCTCATCCAAATTGCCTTCATGGTCAGACGTCTGTTGGCTTCAGGAGGCACCGACTACACTACTTTCCTGCGAAAGTACAACCAGCAGTCTGTTGCGGCTCACCAACTTCGCGGTCGCAAGCAAACTGCACTGAAGCTCCTCTTCGAAAGCGCTCCCAAGGACTACTTGGATTTTTTTTTTAAGTTATAGTGTTTGTGTGACACCACCCCTAACTTTGTCACTTCTCCAGGGAAAAATAGTAGATAAGTTTTTCTTTATGTGTACTATCCTTTTCTCGCTGTTCAGGACGTGCTGGATGAGATCCTCAACCATGTTGGAACTCTTGGATGGGAGAATTGTGCTTGGACTGAGGAGAATTTGGCTTCAAAACGTCTCTTCCCAGGACACGTTTTCCCAGCCAAGAACAGGAAGTGGCAACAGAGATTGAGAGTCAGCGACAGGTCCTTGAGAATTATGGTTCTCAGGATTCACTGGGAGCAGGAGCACCAGTCTTGTGAGAAGTGCAGCCAGAAGAAGCCGGATGACAGAGCTTGTGAGCTACTGGCTGAAAAAGCAGCTTGCCTCGTTTCCTTAGCAGATGAGTTTTGCTCTGAGCATCCCATCACCATGGAGACAGTCCAGAAGAAGATACTGGATGAGTGGTCCTCTGGATGCAAGCGCATTGACATGGAGCTGGCCGCGCAGTTACTGGAGAAGTCCGAATCCTTTGCCATTGCGACCCACATGCCTTGTTTCAAGGCTTTGCTGGAGGAATCTCTTTTTCGTGCGCCGGTGTCTTCTTCCCAAGAGGCAGGGGCTCTTTTCTTGACGTGGTAGTCGTTGTTTGATGAGTAGCATAACCCATAATAATGACGAAAACAATGATAAGATAATAATTTCAAGCTTTATTCCCTCCCTCAAAGTTTTTGGTCTACTAGTCGGCGTTGCAATGAAGTTGCCTTGATGATGGCCTCTGCACCAAAACACCTTTTCTGTTGAATCTTCTCCCCAATCATTAGGATAATTGTGAGTTTGTTTTGTTCCACAATGCTGGCAGGTGGAAATGCGAGACAAGCTGAAGAGAGATGAGTTCGACCATGTTGTGAAGAAAATGGACTATGACATCAAGGTCTTCGAAATTTGGCAATCGAAGGTCGCATCAGTGGCAATGGCTCGCCAGCATGCGAAGCAGGAACATGTCGTTTCTGAGCACAGGAAAATCGTGGAATCAGTGGAAGCCTATCTTGATGGTTGTGTTCGCTTCCTGTGCTGGGAAGGAGTCAACAAGGGAAGTGATAGCATCGTTCCACAGGTCCTCTTATTTCGCATGGAAATTTTGAGAAAGCTACGCAACCAAAACACAGCTGGTGCAGCTGCAGATGTTCCTACCTTGGTCCTCATGAATTGGACCGCACCCTGTCTGTTTCCAGCTGGACGGCAGAATGATCACATCAACTGCCTTGCGTGGGCGTTGCACGACAATACCAACTCGGCTGCAATCATTTTCGCACCTACCTTTTCGTACCAGAAAGGAAAAACATTCCTGGAGGAAAATGCGTGCATGCAGCTTCTGGCACAAGGAGGGCACAACTTGGACCATCAGTTCAGCGTCTTATTTTCTGACAGATGCGATCAGAGAGACAGCCGACCTCTGCTTTACCCTGCTCGTTGGGCCTTCCCAGGTCATGTGGTTGACCTTGGAAAGACAAATGCCTTCTTTCAGTCGGAGCTTCGCAAGGCTGGGCGAACTGATCCTTGCAAGCAAATGGTCGCCAAGGACTTGAAGGAAATGGAAGACATGGCTGATGACAGCCTCCCAAGCACAACTTCAAGCAATCACATCTCTGGAGCAGCCAAGCATTGTCAGTTTGGCCGTCCTGCTGCAGAAGAGGTCTTTCGCAAGGCCTTCAACCAAGTTGACCTGGAGAAATTTCCAGCTGTGCTGATCGTGGACCTCTTCCCCCGAGTTGGTGATTTTGCAGATGCTTTTTGCCGCCTCCGGACCCAATTGAATGCTGGGACCAGCTTGTTCTACATTGGTGTCGGAGAGAAGGCCAAAGAATTGGAATGGCTTCGCGCGACTTTGCTCGAAGAGTTGGTGGAGAAAGTGAAGCTGGAAGGCTTTCAAATTCCTGGTGCTCAGCCATTTCAGAAAGAAGTCAACCCAGACCTCCTGGATGCACTTCCCGCAATTCCAATTACCAATCTTCTTGTTGTGAAAGGTGAAGGTGAAGATCGAAGTCTGGTGCTGCCAAAGCACTTGATGCTGAAGTGGCGTTCTGATGAAGATTTCGGCGATGAATTTTCCAAGTGGCTTGACGCATTTTTGGAAAAGTATTCAGTGAGTGAAGATGCAGACAATTCTTCACCCAACAACAAGAGACAAAACAGTTAAGAAAAAACATCGGAGGCTGAACCGAGCCCAAAAAGGTGTCGAGTGGAGGAAGTGCCTGCAGAATGCTTGCTTCCTTGTGACAAAATTGCAGAGACGCTTCTATTTGAGACGAAGCTTGGAGGAAAAGATACCATTGGATTCCAGATCCGCACCAACCACCAGCTCTATTTGGTCAACCAGACCTCCCATGAGCTCAGTCTCAAAGCAATGTCGCCTTTGGTTGGATTTGGCAGGGGATCGTTCAAGTTGTTCAAGGAAGGTGACACACTACCTGAGAAAGCTTTGCTTTTTCACATTGCTTCCTCAGATGCCTTGGTTTGCCTCAACGGTGCTGTGCAGACAATTTCAGAAGTGCTATTCAACCAAAGAAAAATCAAGCCTGAGGCTACTGTCTGCTACCACAAGGCTACACCTTCTGGGCAAAAAACTGATGGCCAGACATTGTTTGACTTCAAGTTGACCCACAAAATTTGCTTTGTGCCGCCGACGAAACGAGATGGAGCAGATGAAGGAGCAGAAAAACCCGGCAAAGAAGAGACTATATCCTTCACCAACATCGCCTCACGCGAAACAGCTGGTACTTTTTGTGATTTGCAATGCGCAAGTCTGATTTGGCATGTGCGCTGGACAGTCAAGGGGCTGCAGCCGCTGAAGCCCATGATCCATTTAACCAAAAAGCTTTGCCTTGCTGCAGGTCAGTGCTGCAAACTCAATAAGCAATGACATTGCAGTTTGGACCACAGGTAGCATTGAAAATGCCTACGATTTTGATATGCAGATGGCTGCCCCAAATAGGTGACACTCGAAAACATTTTGTCCACACAACCTTGCTATCAATTTTTGCTTCTCGAAAGAAAGCACCATCTGACAGGACATTGCGTTGATGTCCCAATCTTGGGTCCTTTGCTTATCGACATAGTCGACATAGTGCACATCGTGGCCGACAAAAGGAACCAGCTTGAGAGTCATTCTTGCATCATTGTCAAGAGATTTTCAGACATGTGCTTTTATATGTATTGTTTCGCTACAGTACTCACTCGACAGATGCGCTGGCTGTTGACAATCATGTGGAAGTTTCATAGTAACAGTAATAATAATAATAGCGCTCTTAGCGCTGACCACTTTATAATAGTAATAGCGCTCTTAGCGCTGACCACTTTATGCCAATGGGGTATGTCTGATCGTTGCTTTCTCATATTCAGCCACGAGCGACTGCAAGCCCAAACTTATTGTTATGTTTGGACTTTTGGATTTTATCGACAGAGAGTTTAAATCTCCAATGACAAAACCAGTTTTCTGACATTCATCTGGCATCTCCTTCTCTGGCATTTAGTCTACAATCAATTCAATCTGACATATATTCTGCCATGATACCAGACTGAGACTGTAATACAAAAAGATTCTGAAGTGGTGCCAGTGCTTGGCACAAAACAAACACCTACCTCAAAAAAGTTAACACCTACTTGAAGCCAAAAGTCCTTATTAGCCCGGCTTTTCAATCCACTCATTCTGAGTCGGAGTGATCCCGCAGAGACGCAATCTCTAATCTGACGAATGTCAGGTTGAAGATATTCAACAGTGCGTCTTTCAACGTATTATTCGAATTAGATGAGCCCGGATTTTTGAGTCCACTCATTCTGAGACGGGCAGATCCCGCGGATACACAATCTCGAATTTGGTGCACATCGGGTACTGACTCAGGATCAGAAAAAGGAAGCACAAGTGCAGGCAGAAAGCGACAAGTTCACAGGTGGTCAAAAAGCCTCAGATACCGGGTGACCCCCCACTTGAAAGCCGTTTTGTCGCAAACAATCATCGTAACGTGCTGTTTCATCTAGTTGAAAAATACGGTAAGTGGAGAAAACGTCGGATCGATTAAAACTTTTCTGTACATATGCTAATGCGAAAAGGCTAGCTGTGATCAAGCTTGCACAACGAGGAAAAAGGCAGGGCCAGACACTCAATGTGTGAGGCAGGATGAGAACCAACGAAAAACAAGTTCCAGTTCAACTGGACTGCCACTTAAGTCCAAGTCTGTAAAGACTTGAGAAACGGAGGTCTGAAGGTGGTCTTTTCTGTACAATGAGAAACTTATTGTCGAATTATCAACGTATCTGACTACAAGATGATCGAAACAAGGTTGAGTCAAAATTTGAAACGTACTGCTCCACGACCGTTCGTTGTGGTCATGGCCAAATTCGACAGTGTCAAAGATGTCTGACTTCCGACTCCTGCACTTCTAATCTGACGCAAAATCCAAATCAGTGCGGAACAAGCTTGCATAATGGAGAAATCGCAATGGCGAGACATGTCAATGTCTGAAGATGGAAATCCTGTCTGTACATACAGCGGTGCTAATTCATGCAAAAAGTTCGGGTTTGTGACTACGAGTATTGAATTAAATGAGCACGACTTTTGAGCCCGATGCACCATGAGAGTGCAACGAAAACAAGTTCCAGTTCAACTGGACTGCCACTAAAACCCAAGTCTGTAAAGACTTGAGAAACGGAGGTCTGAAGGTGGTTTCTGCTGTACAATGAGAAACCTATTGTCGACGTATCGACGCAGCTGACTACAAGATGTTCGAAACAAGGTTGAATCAAAATTTCCGAAACGTACTGCTCCACGATCGTTCATTGTGGTCACGGCCAAATACGACAGTGTCAAAGAGGTCTAACTTCCGAGTCCTGCACTTCTAATCTGACGGAAATTCAAATCAGTGCGTAACTAGCTTTCAAAATGGAGAAATGGCAAGGGCCAGGCACTGTCAATGTCTGAAGATGGAAATCCTGTCTGTACATATAGCGGTGCTAATTCATGCAAAGAAGTTGGGGTTTGTGACTACGAGTATTGAATTAAATGAGCACGACTTTTGAGCCCGATGCACAGTGAGAATGCAATGAAAACAAGTTCCAGTTCAACTGGACTGCCACTAAAGTCCAAGTCTGTAAAGACTTGACAAACGGAGGTCTGAAGGTGGTCTTTTCTGTGCAATGAGAAACTTATTGTCGACGTATCAATGTATCTGACTACACTACACGATGATCAAAACAAGGTGGAAACATGTTGGTTTTGAAAGATACTGCTACACGATTGTTCAACGTGGCCACTGCCAAATTTGACAGTGTCAAAGATGTCTGACTTCCGATTCTTTCACTTCGGATCTGACGCCAAACGTTCCGGCAGGCTTTGCCACATGAGTGTGAAACAAGCTTGTATAATAGGGAAAAGTCAAAGGTTTCTGCAAGCTTTGCCACATGAATGTGAAACAATCTTGTAAAATGAGGAAATGGCAGGGCCAAACACTGTCAATGTCTGAAGATGGAAATCCTGTCTGTACATACAGCGGTGCTAATTCATGCAAAAAGTTCGGGTTTGTGACTACGAGTATTGAATTAAATGAGCATGGCTTTTTGAGCCCGCTCAAACCAAGACGGAAGGTTCCGGCGGATACAGTGTCCCAAATCTGATGCCTGGCAGTGTGGACATCAGTGTTTGTTCAAGAATTGCAACAAAGAAAACTCCAAGTCTGTAAAGAATTGAAATTCTTGAGAAATCTGACGCAAAATCCAAATCAGTGCGGAACAAGCTTGCACAATGGAGAAATCGCAATGGCGAGACATGTCAATGTCTGAAGATGGAAATCCTGTCTGTACATACAGCGGTGCTAATTCATGCAAAAAGTTCGGGTTTGTGACTACGAGTATTGAATTAAATGAGCACGACTTTTGAGCCCGATGCACAGTGAGAGTGCAACGAAAACAAGTTCCAGTTCAACTGGACTGCCACTAAAATCCAAGTCTGTAAAGACTTGAGAAACGGAGGTCTGAAGGTGGTCTCTGCTGTACAATGAGAAACCTATTGTCGACGTATCGACGCAGCTGACTACAAGATGTTCGAAACAAGGTTGAATCAACATTTCCAAAACGTACTGCTCCACGATCGTTCATTGTGGTCACGGCCAAATACGACAGTGTCAAAGAGGTCTATAACTTCCGAGTCCTGCACTTCTAATCTGACGGAGGTTCAAATCAGTGCATAACTAGCTTTCAAAATGGAGAAATGGCAGGGCCATACACTGTCAATGTCTGAAGAATGAATTCTTGTCTGTACATACAGCGGTGCTAATTCATGCAAAGACGTTGGGGTTGGTGACTACGGGTACCTGTGTTGAATTAAATGAGCACGACTTTTGAGCCTGCTCAAGAAATCGGTCGACAAGATCGAAGTGATGATCTGAGCCATTATGGCATTCAGTCCAATGTCAAGTTTAATTCAATATCGAATGAAAAATCAAGCTGAATGAAATTCAGAAAAACCTGACGGGAGCTTGGGAATCAGATCGCCAAGCAATGCCTGTCAAATAGTGGCTGTGGGTGTTTATCACCCACATGCGGCCACGTTTGTGATGCACGCATCCTTGCGAATTCGGGCCACGGGTGAGGTCAATGCACTCACCCTCTCCGCCATTGTGCACGGTTTTTCCTGTGCCCCAGGCTAGGCCCACAAATATGGCACCGCATTCGTTCTTGCTGAGATTCGTCCCATTGTGCAAGATACGACCTAATTCGCGCGCCTCCCACGAGGTGTATCCTACTTTGAATCCCTGAGCAAAGAAACTTTCACTTTCTGCAAAGTGGAGTTTGCTAGGTGCCAGCTTACCTTTTGAGAATGGCAACAAAATTACCAGGTTTTGTGGCATGTGTGAAGGCCAGATGGATGATTTCATCGAGGCCTCTGTCTGGTGCCGCCCGTCTTGGTATCGGTGGCATCCCTGCTGGAAGGTTGGCTCTATCATCCGTAATAGCTGGGATCATACGTGGCCATTCTCATGGGTCCCAAATCTTGTGACAAAATGTCAGCCTGTGCCAGTAGCTTGGCTACATAATGCAAAAAGGCTTCAGAAGTGGGATGTTCCTTGACTTGTTGATTCAAAAGGATTTCAAACAAGGAATGCTCATGATCATTTAGCGGGACATGGCCTGACGGCGTGCTCGGAATCGAAAACGCATTAAAAGGAGCACTACCTAAAGGCGCACTCAAAGATGCATTCGGAGCACTACGAACGGTCTGTGGCACCACCGGACGGGGTGGTGGTGGCGGCGGCGGAGGTCTTTCTTGAAATTGGCCGCTGTGACCGTAAATATCAAATACTCCAAGTGAAGTTTCCCAATTCCCTGGTGGGTATGTATGATGGGCTTGCTGTAAAGAGCGAGCCTCTGATCGAACTTCACTGACACTAGGTCCTGGGGACCGAGATCGTGCACGGCTATCGGATCTAGATCTCGTTTGACGAGGTCTACGGGATCGAGAAGATCTGGATCTCAGTGGTGGACGTTGTAAAGGTGCCAAACTGCTCGGTGCAGCTGGTGGTCTACCGATTTTCTGTACATCTTCAAGGGCTACAGACATTGGTCCCGGTGGTCTTCTAGGGGGGTCGAAGCTTGCAGTACCATCAGTAATTGGCAGCGCAGGTCGGACCTCACTCTTGGGTCTCAACGTCGAAACCACGGCAGCCGGTGCTCGAGGCGGTGGTGCTTTAGCCGCCTGACGGCTGTAGTCCCCTGCAATGAAATACACATTGTATGACATGGATGCAACTCTACGTGTCGAAAATGGAAAATGGAAAATGGAACACCATGACAACATACAATTAGAAAAGGTCAACTGTACAAGTATCAACGTGTGATACGTTTTCAGTGATTGGCTTCATGAATGAACGTGAAAAACATGTCGGTTGAGCCAGGATGTCTGTACAGAAACTGAAAGCTGAAGTACCGTGAAAACACTGCATCGAAACTCTCACTGATCCGTCCTACGAGTAAGTCTAAATGCTCTATTGCTGTTTCTTCTGCTTTGTTCTTTTGGCGACTCATAGTTGTTTCAGAGGAGGGCCCGAAAGCCTTTGTTCAGGAATAACCCCGAATGTTCAGAGTGAATCAGAGTGAATCAGAGTAATTCAGAGGCACAAAGTGCAATCAGAGATTTTCAGAGATTTTTCAGAGATTCTTCAACGCCTGAGAAAACATGCACGACAATTTCCATGGAGATCTTCGATCTCCGTTGGAAAGTGGAACTCCGTAACACGAATTACTCATCTCGAGGGGACGGAAGGGAAAATTAGTCCCAAATCATATCGGATACGGTTCAAAGAAATACCGATGGCTACGATTCATGGTCAAAACGACCCAGTGGTATTGCCTTGTTGTTTTTCTCTGGACAAGGACCAGACATACCCCCATTTTTTGGTGGTGAAAAAGTTGAGGGCCGAAGCCAAATCAGAGGGATACTGTTCACACGCCGGCAGTTACCGGATCACGACAGGACCATGACGGAATCTCTGCCGAATACACACTTGAAAGACCGTATCTCGTCTATGAGTCTTTTCATTCCCAACAGGGCACCTGAACTGATTCTGCTGTTTACATGCTTAGTTCAGGAAGGCCGTCTTTGTCCACATTGGACAAAAGTCGCAGAAATGGGTAAATACGGAAAAATGCGTAACGGACTCCGATTTCTCGAATTATTCATGCATATGATAAAAAATAATAACCGGAAAGTCATCAAAAAGCTTGGATAATGAAAGAACATCGTGACCAACTGCAGGTACGTCAGGGTGATCAGCCCTGATATCCCATCCAAGACCGCAGCTTCGTTGCACACGGTGGGTCAAGGATGCCGTGTGCCCCTGCTTGTAAATTGGGAACTGTAACTAAAAATTGGACATGTGATGAAAGCCCTTCGGAACAGGGGTTGCCCCCACACACAAAGGCCGTATGTCGCGAAAATATATCATCCGTTGCTTTCAGCAACGGTGATCTTGAAAAAACTGTTCCAGCGAACTTCAAAATGATTCCATGGCGAAAGTCTGAGAAACGAATCAGGAAGGCATTACAAAAATGGGCCAACATACAGGCAAGAAATGTAATGACAAAAATACAATGACAAAAATGCACGTCCATGAACAAATCGGGGCAAAACGGACAGCAGCAATACTTACTTGCGCTGGTTGAGTGCTTGATCGACGTCAGGTTGGGAACAAATCTTTCTGTACATATAAGACGCCCAGCTGCGTCAAGCTACTGGAAATCAAACTGGTCGGATACGTGTATTTTCGAATTAAATGAGCCCGGCTTTTCAATCCACTCATTCTGAGTCGGAGTGACCCCTGCCTGTAAATTGGGAACTGAAACTAAAATTGGACATGTGATGAAAGCCCTTCGGAACAGGGGTTGCCCCCACACACACACACACACAAACGCACACACACACACATTCATTCCTTTCCAGAGTTTTGTATTATCCTGTTCCAAGGAGAACTATGAAAAGCTGAGGGGTTCTGGAACTCAAATGATCACATGATTTGCATCTGCACTTGACATCACTTAACATCACTTTGGCACATCCTGTTCCAACCTCCGTGACTGGCACAACGGCCGCGCTGGCGAATGATGCAGGAGATTCAGCAGGGCATCGCAACGGATAAGCAGAGAAGAAATTAACGGTGACACAAAGATGGTGGGTCGCAATCTCCAAAAGAAAAGAACAGTAAAAAAATACTAAAACAAACATAGACATGTTCAAAATCCCACCAAAACGGCAGTACATTGCTTTTAGTTTCAACGAACGTTGCAAGTGTCCCCCATTGGTCTTGACACTCAGATGGTAGGTGATTCCATGAATTGGTCAACCAACAACTGGTTGCACCCGGTGATGTGCGGTCTAGAGCTGCCAAAGCATGGATGAAGAGATTGAAGCTGCTGCTCGGTGATGGTCAAAAGTTGTACGGCCTTCATGATTTTTGCATTTTACATGTGGATAAATTGGGAAATAGAACCAACTGTAACCAACAGCTGGGTTCTATAATGCTCCTGAAAATTGTGGATGATGATACCATCATCGAAAACGGTGAATTTATGGCCATGCTTGAGGATTCCTTCCCAACAAACGGCGGGATGACAATAAAAACCAATAAACCCATATACCATGTTTTCTACCATAGCATTCCTGGCACCCAACATGTATTCTTCATTGGGCACATATATATATATATACATGATTCTATTACATGATTATATAAGTATCTGATTACATATGTGATAACAATATATTTATAATATATTTATTTATATATATGTATGCATGATTATATAATATTACATATTTGATCTGGGATGCAAGGACGCACTGATCGTGAGAAGCTCAAGTGGCAGTAGGAACCCTGCAGTGCACTCTCGAGTGGTCCGCTTCCATCCGTGGCCGTGGACAGATTTGCCGAAGCTGTCGAAACCGTCCATTTTTCTCAGGGTTTACTCATGTACAGCCCACTAGAATCCCACATGCTCGCGCAATATCCCACATGTTAAATATGATGGGATTATATGAAGTATGATGCCTTTTGGCAATCAAACATGGCTGGACCATTCCCTATATTTACTTTGATTTTCCCAGCAACCTCCTTTGATATTTATTTATAGCATTTTATGGATGATGTTCCCATATTTTCCCATCAAAAGCCAGATGTTCCAGCCAGCCATTTTCTGTTTCGCCCAGGCCATCTTGCAAGCTCTCGAAGATGAAGGCCCAACTGGGCGACTGGAAAAGTGGGGCGGGCTCCGAGGCCTCAGCTTCGATCCGCTGCGAGTGAGTGATATCAGTGTAGAATGATTGACTTATCAGTACTATCAGTACTATCAGTAGTGATATCAGTCAATAGTTATAGTACTGATAGAGTGAGTAGACTATCAGATACTATCAGTGGATATATCGCTATACTTGGTTGATCTTAGTTCTATGTAGCTTGGTTTTAAGCCACTCAATGCCTGGGATGCTCCCGGACAGATTGCCAACAGCACTGCTTGATGTGTTTCTGGGCTCGGACCTGATAGGTGTGGAGTTGCGATATTTGCAGGAGAATGATCCAAGAAGGCACTTGGGACAAGGATGTTGTTCCTGCTCCTGGCACTTGTGGGCATCCCAAAATAGAACGGTCCAAGACGGGGAAAAAGCGTGAAAGAAACATATGGTGTCCATAAATGGAGGTACGTAGCTGGTGGTTTATTTCACGGAAAATCCAAAGCAAACATGATCAAACATGGATGATTTGGGGGTACCCCCATGGCTTAGGAAACCTCCATATGATATGTGTTGGTCTCGTATTTAGACCTTGCTTATATTCGGTCTGTGCATTTTAGAACCCCTCAATGCAGGATAGGGTTCGGTGAAATGTTGGTGGCTGACCATAGTTCCTCACATAATGCTTGGTTGGATTGGGTTATAGTTAAAGGCTTAGTCACTGGGAAGGGTAATCCTTTCCATCTATATTTTGGTGACCTAAAAAATGCTAATTTACCGCAACATGTGGTCATATAATAAAATCATACGCAGTTGTTTGCGTAAACGCTGCCTAGCCAAACGCATCTCAGCGCATGTCATTTGTGAGAACGATAAGGACCTCGCTTGTACTATAAACAATGGTTGGTAAGGAAACGAGCCAGTCTTTCAGATTGGAAACCCATATCAGGTGCTCGATTTCAACAGTACACCCACTTCAGCAAAGATCGCGGTTCAAAATACAAAACATGTTGTTCCTTTGGTAGATTGTGGTAAATTCCATCTTCAACCTTCCATATTTGGAGATGGTTTGTTTGATCCAACATTATCCAGCCCATTTCTGGTAAATGGATTATCCAACATTATCCAACACTATCCAAACCACGGAGGCCTGGCCAGTTGGGCCGTTCCATGGCCCTGCGGAAGACCACGGGCGACGGTTCCAGCCACAGCAGCAACATTTGCAGCGCCGTGGTGAAGCGCTACCAAGGGCGGCAGCTAGTCGCGTGGCGGAAGGGAACGGAGGAGGAGTCAAAACCCATCATAGATGTCGAAAGTTCCCAGGATTTATATAATTAGATGGATTTAAATGGATTTATCATAATGTATGTTATATGTGATGTTTTCATTCCGGATGATTCATCATGTTTTGATATATTGAGCCATGCCATGTTCTATCAGGAAAAGCCATGAAAACGTATGAAACACATACATGCATATAATATAATACCTATCGTCATAGATATTATTATACACATGTACACACACACATATATATATATATGTAGGTATATCCATATATATATATATGTGTGTGTGTGTACAGTATATGCCGGTGGCCATGGCTTTGTGGATCTTTGTGGCCAGGCCTTGCCTTTCTCGGAGCCTTTGGACTTGGCCCTGGCCGTGCGGCAGCGCCTGCTTCGAGCGCCGCCGCTGGCGGATGTGCGTGTGGAGCAGGGCGGTGAGCTGCGGCTCTACAGCGGCGTCACCGCAACAGGAAGACGGCAGGATGTGGTGAAGTCCCCGTCATGAAAATCATCTAAAATCCAGTAAAATCACTGTCAAATGGAGGGTTCAATGGGAACATATTGAGGATATGATGGAAAACATCAGGAAATCTTCGAACGAAATGAGAAATCCCTGACCAAAAATAGAGAATAGAGGATATCATAGGATATCTAAATGGGAAATCCCTGAACTTAAACGAGATTTGAATGGAAAAATCATCTCAAGCAAGGCATTGGTTTCCAATTTTTCGTGAACGCTGTAACAACACTGCTGAGCAAGATATGTTGAGGACACTTCGTTCCGGCAAGTACAGTTTTCTTGTACACGCAATTCCTACTTTTGAATCCCCTCGACCTACTGCGCTATCATTGGGTTTGCTTTGCGGCCGCTCGCTGAACAATTTCTTGTTGTCCTCTCACTTGTTGGAAGTAGAGACTGGCAGGTATATCCGGCAACAACGAGAACAACGGGTTTGTCAAGCATGCAAACGGTCTTTGGGGCTTAGGGTCCTTGGGGATGAACAACATGCTCTGTCTTCCTGTGTAAGAGCTGCAGAACAGAGACAACTTTCTTTTGCAAAAATCATATCTCTTTTCCCTGGTGATTCACTACGTCATATTCAGCACAACTCTCTTTTCAACATGTTGAATTCTCTGAACACCTTGTCAACAAACCAGCAAAATCTGGCATGGAAACTAGTTGCGAAGTACACCTTGGCAGTGCAACAAAGCATCCGCAGTGAGTTGGGCACGCAAGACCGCATACCGAACATATGGAAGGAATGTATGAAAAACATATTGCTGAAGTCAGTGACCAAAGCTGCTGAGAAGTATTTCCGTAAGCGTTTGAGGAGACAGCAGAGAAATATGCCAGCACTTCCTGCTATTGTTATTTCCAACGATTCCGATGATGATGTGGAGATTTTGAACTGAAGATCTTGATGTTTGCCATCCTTGCCCCGTTGCCCTTTTGATTCTGGCTTTCCGCTTATTTTCACACACCTTTTTCACCAAACTAGCTCTGTAAATTACAAAGAACTTTGCGCCGAGGTGCCATTACGGGCACGCAGGGCGCAAGACATGACATGAAATGAATGAAATGAATTTATAAAAAGGGTGATATAATGTGATACATAACCAATCCATGAGCTGGGGAGTATCATTGGAATATCATGTGAATATAATTGGGGATGGAATTTACAAACAATGATATGATGATGATGCCCCAGTTTGGAATCGCTAAGTTCGCTTTTTGGTGACTGTAATTGGTGACAGTAACCGTAACCATGGGGTTATGAGTAAACCAACTTGTAACTAGGGGAACCACCTTGTACTTGGATGATCCCAAATGTTGTGACTATTCCCATCGATAGATTATGCCAACAACATTTAATAATGTAGGGACGAAACCTCCTGGGGCAATCCAAAAAAATAGGTACTGTAGTAACGTACCCAGCAGAAACCTGCAATTGAGTATTGTTGTTTCATTTGTTTCCAGTTTTTGACGAGTCATTGTGCATCCTTCAGATTGCATTTATTTTAATGCTGTATGACATATGCCATTTGTTCTGTATTTTACAGTGTTTTCGCTCAGCTATATCTATTAACTGGTACTAGTTGAGTTTAAGTTATTTCATTGAGATGTAAAAGGGTAGGCCCTCGAGTGGGCAGTGACAGTATATATGATATATGTAATATTCAACCCATGTTTGGGAACTTTAAGAGTTGTTAAAGGCCTGTTCAAGGGTTTATCTCCAGAAAGGGACGCCACCAGGGCCCACAAAATACATGTCTAGAAATTAGTGCTATACAAGGCATAAAGTCAATGATCGCTCTTTTTTTTTGTGGAGATATTTTTTTATTCAGTTTTTTTTGGTTTATGGTCCGTTCATTTGGTGAGGAGGGGGGAAGCAAAAAAAATACATATACATATACATATATAAATCTATATCTACATATATATATATATATTTGCCCCCCCCCAGACTGTGAATAACATCAATCCCTTCTAAGCTCGCTTGAAAGCCTTGAGTGGTGGGGCTGTACTATAGTCGGTTCAACATCTAAAATATAAACCAAAAAAAACTGATGATATCATACTATTACTCTGTCAGGAAGGCAATTGCAGTGGACAAGAACGGAGTACGAAAGGAAGAAACGGATTATGAAAGAAAAGAAAAACGTACAGTTTTTTTAAGCTAGGGAAAAGGACGGCATATCGACATAACTTTGCAAAATTTATATATTAAGCCAGTGGCAAGTAGCACGACGGCATGACGTAGCCTGAGAAACTGCGTGATGTAGCATGAGCAGCTGCCCAAAACAAAACAGAAATGGTAAGAACATTGATTGAATTTGCAAGGCAACAGCAAAATGAGAAATAGCGACACACATCATGCTTTATGTGGAGATGGTGTGTTGTTCCATATGTTTGAGTAAATGATAGACCAAATCTTTATTGTTCGATCTGCTGCATGACAGAAATCATGTAATATTTGTCCTTAGTAAGGAAATAGTTTCAGGTATGATCGTATACAATAATCTTGCTACAAGTATACAATATGTCTATATACCATATAAATAGCCGTCTTCAAGTGGATATTGATGTCTCAAGAGCTCCTTGTGATATAGGCAACATGGATGTTGCATATGCCATAGCCATATGCTGTATCAGCACACCCAAGGTGCATATGTGTTTAGAATGTCACTGTAGCCATATTAAGTGTGTATATATATATATATGTATTGATGAACTTGCATTTTCCTTGTAAGTACTACTGTATGCATCTATGATATGAATGGTGCATATAAGTAGTGCATGCCAATACATACACACATTTCCCACATGTATTTTGCATATGCAATGGAATTCTTCTAGGATTGACTGCGATAAAGACTCTTTGGTTGCAACTGACTTTGATCATAAGAGTTGGCACATGGCAAGGGCAACTCCAACTTACCCGTTCTCCAAACATATAGGTGTTTCACAGTAATTTGCTATGCCACTGCACATCTATGCAGATACCCTGTTACCATAATTGTTTGGCTGTGCTTTTATGACAGGATGAGTAACACCCAAAAAGAGTTAAGACTGTTTTTAAAACTGGACAGAAAACAGCTATGACACATCCCATTGGATTAGGAAGTAGCATCTCCCAGAATGCATTCGTATGGAAAGGGGTCCCTTCTCCATCCTTTTGATCTATACTCACTCCTGTTCTTAGCTCTTTGATCTATATACTGTATGAAAAGTTTCAGGTGTTGTTTGTGCTTTAGTGGGTTAATGGTTTCAACCAGTATGCAAGCGCATTGCCACAAGTGTGCAGTAGATATACAGTAGAAATGGCAGCTTCAAACATGCACTGATATCTAGAGGGTTTCTTGTGATAAAAGCCATGCATTTTTTTGCAGATAGCATAGCCATTTGCTGTGTCAACACATCCAAGCTGCATATGCACCTCGAATGCAACTATTTTATATATACATTTTTCTTATATAGTACATACAGTTCTGGAATGGGTGGCATGTAAGTCACCTATGCCCTTACAGGCACAAGTTTTGTACATTTTTTCCTGCATATGCAATGGTATTTTTTCAGGTTTTCATGCAGTAACAGGTCTTTGCTTAAAATATTGGCTGATCACAAGAGTTGGCAAATTCCAAGGGCACTTCCATTTCCCCCTTGCTTCAGAAAAGGCGTTTTCCTGCATATTCCATGGTAATTTGCTGTGTCACTGCAAATATAATAACGGCATACACTTTAGTATCATAAATGTACTCATGACCGTGGGTAAAATTTAATTTTTGCCAGTGTTAGTTTATCATGGCATCCAAAAGGGCACAAAACCAAGTAAAAGAAACACCTATGCAACCTTGCCAAACAATTGTATCTATAGAATGGCAGCCCTGTTTTGTGCACCAATGCAGCAAGTTACCATGAAGTATGCCAACAAAAATATTGCAACTACTTGAGCAGGGACAGTAGATTGGAATTTGCACTTTCATTTGCTAAAAGAGTTCCACTGGAACTGTCGTGTCAACCAAAAGGCGACCTGGCAGTCCAATAGCAAAAACCACCAATGCAAATACCAAGTGCACCGTCTTTGCAATAGCTGTATACCTAGGTAGTACCTATATTTTAATATATACATGAAGTACCAACTGACAAATCCTATGAACTTAATAAAAATCACACTAAAGGTATGCAGTAAATGACAAAAAAAACACAAAACATATGAAACAACACAAAAAAACACTGAAAAACACGGGCCCTCACAACGTCCCACTCTCTTTATCAAAGGGTAGGAAAGCCACCATCCTGTCGCTGATCATAGTCATCATTGACCCAGTTGACCCAGGTCAGCCTTATTGTGATGCGCAGAACTTTGGCAGCAGCCACTGGGGGAAGCCCATGGGAGACGCCATTCCTATGGGTCAGACTTGGGTGTTCAACCCTAAAAACACTGCACTACATTGAGGATTTGATGATTGGAATGCTGCACTTGGAGGGGACCACAATTCATAGAAGTTGCTTTTTGAGAAATCGCCGAAGTCAAGATGCATAGAGCGAACATTGTACTATGATCATTCTGTATGCGTATGTGCTGCGTCAAGATCCTCCTGGGGTTCCCCTGACATCGACCATCGGCAGATCCATGGACGGTTTTAGGGCCTGATGGTCATCCCTCATTTTTGAGGACCAGACCAACCCCTAGATCCTAGATATAAAGAAGAAAACCAATATGAGGCGAACTTGGCTTGAAGGAATGGAGAGAGACATAAGGAAATATATTTATTTACAACATATAAATATATATGCATACTTGGCATACCATATACCATCCATATCCACCCATGGAACATACCCCATGGGAGTCCAATGGGAGTCCTTGCTGAGGAAGAGGCAAGGCAAAGTTCTTTGCAAAGGCTGCGGCGTTTTCTATTTGGAAGGCAACCCCATGCGAACCCACGTGCAGAATTCCAAAGACTCGCGGTGCTTCAGTGCTTTGGCACAGACAAACCGGAACCGGAAGGATGGGAAGACCAGGTACGGTAAGGGCAGAAAATGCCATCAATCTGGGACCCAAATTGGTATTGCTTTAGGATTTGCATATCTTGAAACACTACCAGAATGTTGCTTGATCTTGCATTAGTTTTGAACAATTGGTCCACTCCTTTCGTGTATGCTTGGGATAAAAAATGGCCTAATATTATGATGTGCATGGTGATCGATTATGCCTCAATTGTGTGCTTACTGTCACCATTGCCCAATCATGTTTTTGTGTTGCATTCATAGTGTGCTGAATGTCCCACCGCTAGATCCCCATCATCCATTGTCGTCAAAATATCACAAGTACAGTAGATACAAGTAGATCTTAGAGATTATAGATCCCATATCTGATGTTTGTGCTGTATAATGTGTGTTGTCCATTTTGGTCGAAACACATCCCGGTCGATTGTGATCCTGGTGGGCGTGTTTATCCTTGGGATTTTCCCACAGTAGATTCCAATTTGGGGTGTTCCCAGACTTGGTTGAAGGGAATAGTTTGGATCGAAGGCAAAAGAAACATGAAACTGGATTGAAAACATGTTTCCTGTAGCTTTCCTTTCACCCATCCTTTACTATGTTGCTTATACTGCGCAAGATTGCACACAACCCTAAGGCCGTAAGTCCTACCAACTTGGTCCCGCAATTTTGGATTCTACAGTAGTACAATCACCACTTTGTTTGGTTTGCATGTTCGACACATTTGTACATATTCTTACTATGGTCGTCAAGAGTCAAGATTGCCTTCTTCACAAACTCAGACATCATTGTCTACTAAAAGGTGTCAGTACTAAAATGGTACCCCCCCATTAAAAGGTCAAAGGATGTCAAAGGTAAATAAAGATCCAGGGTTAACATTAGCCACTGATTTTTAGTCATAGTGTTTTCCTATTGCCATTGTATCAAAATCATATTATATATATATTACAGTTTATTACAGCATATTATATTATATTATATTGTATGATATTATATTGTATTATATGATATGATATGATATTATATATTAATATATATCCGACTACATAAACGGGCCTGGACCTCGAAGGGTGGTTGCCCTGTGAATAGGTGCTGAGGCGGCCGAGTACTATCTCCGCAGCTGTCAGGATGGAGCAGCTTCGTTAGCCGCGGCTACGACGGTGGAGGGAGCGAAGAGCCCTGGAATTGCCATGGAACTTACCACCAAGAATTGGAAACTGACAACAAACATGCTGGTAGATGCCAAGTGTATCAATATGCTACATCAGGAAAGGTTTGGGTAGTTGTTTCAAACATGTCGATTTTCTCCATCCTACTTTGGAGATCTTTGGAAGTTACTGGGTCAAAAAACCTTGACTGATTGATCGCCGAGTCATGAACCCAATAATAAACGGTACTGTGGTATACCAAATAAAAATAAAAGGTAGGTAGAACATTATATAAATCAGTAAATCATCATAATAAAACGTGCGCCCTCCAAACCCCACGTTCGACAATGCTCATCAAATATCCCCTAATATACTTGTCACCAGAGGATGAAAAAAAAACTGGCTGATGCCATACGCAGCGATTTTGACTTTATGTTTTCAGGATTTAGGGTTTTTCATGTGAGTTGTTTAAAGAATGCTAGCCGTAGGAAGGGATTCACAGGCAAAGGCATTTTTTGCGAACATGTTTTCAGTCCGGGACCTCGATGGCCCTCAGTTGCTGAATTTGTAAGATATTTATGAGGTAACGATTTGGCCCTTAACATATACGACAATTTCCCTTAACGTGACAATATGCGCCCGCATGCGCCCGTAGCCGTTTACAACTGCAGAGATTGCAGTTGCCCGCACGCCCGATCCCTCCTATCGCAAATCATCGGGGCAATATATGATATGATATACATATGATATACATGGCAATACTGTATTCCAGTGGGAAGAGGAGGAGATTCTGGTCCTGTTATGCCACAACTCTCGGTTTCTGGGATGGGGGCACGAGGACTCTTGATCCTGGATTTCAAGCGGCAAGAGACGGAGACTTGGACCAAATGCACCTTGGATGCATTCAAGCAACACTTCCAAACTTTGGCGTTTGGGAGTGGGGGGGGATGTTTTTGGTTCATATTGCAATACATTTCCAGTGGTGGTTTGGATGTTTTTGGTCGTTTCTAGTCAGTTTCTGTGTGAATTCCCAGCAGTTTTCGTTGATTTTGCCGTTCAAACGACCCACCAGGTGCCACTTGGTCCGGAACGGCTGGGACGTGTCCCGAGCTGTGGACCGGCACGGCAACACGGTGGTCCATTGGGCCGCGGGCGGCGGACATGTGGAGATGCTCGATGGCTCGATGTGCATCACATCATCGGCTTGGAAGATGTTTGACAAGGGATGATTTAAATTGATATCATAGATGTGGTTTAAACATGTTAAATTCATTTAAATACTATATTATTATATTTATACACAGTATATACAAATAATTATATATATATATTATGTCTTAATTTGGTTTATCTCAATATTAAATCATCAACCAACCCTATCACGTCATGTATTGGCTGCTGATTTAACATGATTTGCAGTAATATGGTTTAATTCGATTTATTGATTGATAAGCCACTGAAAAAAGGGGGTTCGTGGATAGTCAGCCTTTTCATTTGGTTCGTGGCCACAATGTGGTAAGCATGGTAAACCCAATGAGACACATGGTTGTTCATTATTCTCATATTTATCCAATGTTACCATTTGTGAAGTATTTAAAGACATTCCCTTTTTCAAGTGGGTTGTCATTTGTTAATTCACGTTAGTTGTAAAATGTTGTAACCCATTTTTCAACGGGCCAAGCCTCGACTTTCGTTGCTCAGTGGGATGTTCCCAGGACCGATGTGGGATTGACACTCCACCGGATGACATTTGAGGAACGATGTTTTTTTTGGGGGTAAACCTTTTGCCACAAATGTGGGAATTATATGGTATTATACAGTCTTCTTGCCGGAAAAAAGCGGCTAGCCTCGAAGATTAGCAATGATTCTTGGTTGATATAAGCTGTCATTCGCATGTTTTCGCGCTGCAACATGCTGCAACCATGCTGCAACCATGCTGCAACCGTATTTTATCATATGTTATGCCGTATTGTATAAGGTATACATTTGTATATCCTATCATCTTCCCATATCTTCCCCAGAATTTACAGTAGGGGTCTCCAAGGTTCGCCATAGATCCCAGGATCTTGCGTTTCCTCGTCTCCCTTCGCATGGATCCCTGCGAGCCAAGCGCCAAGCATCAGAATCGCTGTGGCCTGCACTGGGCCGCGCGCAATGGACAGGTGGGATGGCGTGAGGGCCACCTGTCAGCCCCGTAAACATGTGAACATCATGGGAGAAAAAGTGAAAATATATGATACCCGCTGGTAACTCAGTTATACATATATATATATATAATATCCTCATTACATCATATAAGCTCCCAATATCTTCGATCCGCAGCAGATCAATGAATTTCATTTGACCCACTGGTAATTTAACATAGCTATTGAACATTGCCATTTATAGTTGATTTACCCATTTAAAATGGTGATTGTCCATAGTTATGTTGTATGATGTGGGTAAAACAATGACATAAACCACCCATGACTGGGAATGGTAACCATACCACCTATAAAAATAGTGATTTGGGAAATGGTTTATGGCCTTGTTTTACCCACATTATGTTCAATTGTGTGATTACATAAAAGTTAAAGAGGTGTGTTTTCCCTGAGGAGTTCTGGCACATCTCAATCTGGCGCCAGAGTTTGCGCTGCCTTCCGCCAAGAGTGTTGTACCCTCACGTCATCCTAAAATTCTTGAAATGGCATTGAACAAAAATAGGCCAGCCTATTATAATATACTTTTTTTTTTAGATCGTCATGTTGGATCACCAGAATGTCAATGTGTGTGTTCCATGACTTGTGGCAATGCATGGATTGAACCTCATGCCTCGTCTAGGATTTCACGGGGGAAACCATCAAAAATTACCCCAAATGAGGTGAGATTGATAGGGTCCTCCCATGGATGTTCCACACACCGTGTTTAAAAAAAGGTAACGTCGTCCGTTGCGGTCCCGCTGATTTTGCTTGTTTTGACAACAAGCATCTTGCTATTTCGACCACCCCTATGGCACTTTCTCTCACCATGGATTTTGCAATATGTTCAAATGCCTTGCGTTTTACAGCACGTTGTGTCCATTTTGTGCTATTCACAATGGGTTTTACACGCCCACGTGCAAAACAGCGAAAAAAAAAACGCATGGAAGCCAGGACTATGTTAGGATCATGTTGCATACATGATAGACCAGACATAGACACATACCTTGCATACTTGGACATGTACACTGATTCTTATATATATATACATGTATATATATATATGTATATATATGTATATATTTATGTCTACATATATATATATATATGTGACTTCACACACATGCACACACAACACACATATATATATATATATATAAATACATATTCAAAAAATCATCACAACATGTCTTGAACATCACATCACAACGTCATTGCAGCCCCACCCCAGGCCCAACCCCATCCCTGGCGTAAATCACAACATGCTTACATCACATCACAACGTCATTGCAGCCCCACCCAGACCAACCCCATCTCTGGCGTAACATCACAACATGTCTTACATCACATCACAACGTCATTGCAGCCCCACCCCAGACCCAACCCCATCTCTGGCGTAACATCACAACATGTCTTACATCACATCACAACGTCATTGCAGCCCCACCCCAGACCCAACCCCATCCCTGGCGTAACATCACAACTGGTCTTACATCACATCATAACGTCATTGCAGCCCCACCCCAGACCCAACCCCATCTCTGGCGTAACATCACAACATGTCTTACATCACATCACATCGTCATTGCAGCCCCACCCCAGACCCAACCCCATCCCTGGCGTAACATCACAACATGTCTTACATCACATCACAACGTCATTGCAGCCCCACCCCAGACCCAACCCCATCTCTGGCGTAACATCACAACATGTCTTACATCACATCACAACGTCATTGCAGCCCCACCCTAGACCCAACCCCATCTCTGGCGTAACATCACAAAGTCTACATCACACACCACACGTTCATTGCAGCCCGCAGACCAACCCCATCTCTGGAGTACACATCACAACCATTGTCTGAACACCAACATCACAACGTCATTGCAGGCCCCACCAAAGACCCAACACCCCATCCTGGCGTACATCACAACATGCCTCACACCACATCACAACGTAATGCAGCCCCACCCCAGACCCAACCCCATCCCTAGCGTAACATCACAACATGTCTTACATCACATCACAACGTCATTGCAGCCCCACCCCAGACCCAACCCCATCTGTGGCGTAAGATCACAACATGTCTTACATCACACTACAAGATAATTGCAGCCCCACCCCAGACCCAACCCCATCTCTGGCGCAACATCACAACATGTCTTACATCACACAGACCCCCAAACCCACCATCTCTGGCGTAACATCACAACATGTCTTACATCACATCACAACGTCATTGCAGCCCCACCCCAGACCCAACCCCATCTCTGGCGTAACATCACAACATGTCTTACATCACATCACAACGTCATTGCAGCCCCACCCCAGACCCAACCCCATCTCTGGCGTAACATCACAACATGTCTTACATCACATCACAACGTCATTGCAGCCCCACCCCAGACCCAACCCCATCTCTGGCGTAACATCACAACATGTCTTACATCACATCACAACGTCATTGCAGCCCCACCCCAGACCCAACCCCATCTCTGGCGTAACATCACAACATGTCTTACATCACATCACAACGTCATTGCAGCCCCACCCCAGACCCAACCCCATCTCTGGCGTAACATCACAACATGTCTTACATCACATCACAACGTCATTGCAGCCCCACCCCAGACCCAACCCCATCTCTGGCGTAACATCACAACATGTCTTACATCACATCACAACGTCATTGCAGCCCCACCCCAGACCCAACCCCATCTCTGGCGTAACATCACAACATGTCTTACATCACATCACAACGTCATTGCAGCCCCACCCCAGACCCAACCCCATCTCTGGCGTAACATCACAACATGTCTTACATCACATCACAGCGTCATTGCAGCCCCACCCCAGACTCAACCTCATGATCATGTGCATCGTACAAAAATGCATGAATTCCCCGGGGCCGTATTGGACGACGTCAGCAAAAACAATGTCTAAAGTCTTTTGGATTATGTTTCCTCTATAATCTATAATCATCCGGTTTTCAACTTGTCTCCATCGCGTTTTTTTGGGCTTGCTATAACTCAATGTATGTAACGCATTGCAATGCCAATTGATGTTCCCAATTTATGCATATATGCCATGTTTATTGTGTATCGTATTCCCACTATATCCCCATTATCTTATCCCAATACGATAATCTCAATTAGTTAATATACATATATATATATAAGATTATAAAAATATATATTACAATCCAGTATATATATATATACGATATTTATACATATATATATATATTTAAAAGATTATATAAGTGTATATATATATTATAATCCAGTATATGTATATATATATCCTCATTACATCATATAAGCTCCCAATATCTTCGATCCGCAACAGATCCGCTGTCGCAGGTGGAGGCATGCCGCTTCCTGTTGGAGCAGCGAAGCTTTGTGGATGTGCAGACGGATGCTAGGTCGGTGGATGGCGTTGTTGTGGATGGCGTTGTGGTTCAGCAAAGTGCTTGTTGAATGGGAAGTTCATCAATGCAAAGGGGATTTTTGAGCGTTAAAGGTAGAGTCATAAAGTCATTCAAGATAGGGATTTAACTTGATTTGAGTAGTGAAAACCCGAATCCGACCAAGCAAAAACAAGAGGTCAACCCACGCACATGTGCGGTTGTGTCAACAAATACATTCAAATATAACGACACAAGCCAAGAACGAAGAAGCATTTATTGTATATTTTCCAGCATCAATGGGGATTCATACAGCAACAAGACGAAGAAGCATTTATTGTAGCATCAATGGGGATTCATACAGCAACAAGACGAGGGAGCTAGGCAGCAAGCATGGTGGCTCAAATCAAGTAAATAAATAATATTAGATACTATTCCGTTGATGGTTTCATTCGGCCCCCGCCTTTTGGATGATGATTGCCAGTGCCTTTCTTTTGGTCCATGGGATTGAAGGGAGTAAATGGTCCTTGCATCCACCTTTGTGGTTGCCTGGCAGCTGTCACTCATTTGTCCATGTCCACCAGCAGCGTCCTTTCCATCTTTTTAGAGTTCTGATTGCAAAGACCGTAAAAATATCACCGCGAAGACAGCCTCACAATAGAACTGGGGGTACCCGTAAAATCCACTGATTTGTCAATATTTTTGTTAATGACAATGTTGGGGCTACATGCCTCATGTTCAGACATATCAAACAGACCCTGTGGCAAGGACGGCGGCGACACCCCGCTGATGTTGGCTGCGTGGCAGGGCCACATCGACTGTTGCGCCTTTTTGGGTGAACAGCGGGCAGAAGCTCGGTTTGTCCAGGAATATCTTGGATTTCATCTGACAGTTAGAATTTTGATTACTGGATATTACTGGAGAGTTATCGTTCCAAAACAAATAGAAACAGTATGTTGGTGCAATTTGACTTTTCGATTTTCATAGGATCAATCTGCGGATGGAACTCGTTCAGAGCTCATACGTTGTTGTTTCTTTGCCATTCTCTCGCTTGTCAAGGGCTCCATTTTTAGCAATCTTCTGCGTTATTGGATACATGTGGTGTATGTGTAATATATATATATATATATATATATGATTATATATATAATTATATGATTATATATGTAGGTATGTATGTTATGTAATGTAATGCAATGTAACGTAATTTCATGTAATGTAAAGTAATGTCAAGTAATGCATATGTAATGTAAATGTAAATGTAAATGTGAATGTGAATGTGAATGTGCATGCGATGTGCATGTGATGTGCATGTGATGTGATGTGATGTGATGTGATGTATGTATGTATGTGACTATGCACATGTACGTGCATAACATTCAATATATGATGTTTCAGAACTTAGACATGTAGTAACCCCCCAAAGAGATGCCAAGAAATGTTAGAATTATCACGGCCTTCCCATGGCTAGGACCTGCATCATCTCAACTCTTGGGGCTGCAATGCCATGTGCCTCGGGGAAAAGCCTGAAATCTTTTCAATGGATGGGAAAAATATGCGCTTGAAACCCCGGATTGGTTAATGGTAACTTTGGTTTAAAACCAATTTCAAGGTTTCAAGTTTATCAAACATGACCAATAAAATGACGAATCCATGGATTAATTGGACAAGTGGGAGGTATAAGCGCTTACGCTTCGAACTGGTATGTACGATATGTAAATACATTCAAGGAAGATAATTACCGTATTTCTTAATTATAGACTTATAGATCGAAATATATAATTAATGGTGTTGGAACCCGAATCAGAATGTCGTGGGCCCCATGGGCTGTGAAAGGGTGTCGTGCAAAGTTGTCCCTGGGTCCTGGTCTTCCTCTGATTCTGTCCGGTGGTTTGGAGTTGAGGCGCTATGGGCATCCACATGTCCTATTACATGGGTAACAAGGGAGATTATATACGACTATTCTATTTCACATAGATATATAATACTTGTTGAATCCCCATTAAGTCACCCATTCCATCCTCAATTGCATCTCACATACATTACAGACGACTCTTTTTCGGGGTTCACCCACCCTAGCAAGTTTACACACCAACCTTTCACAGTGCAGGCGCCTCCATGCTGAGCTCCTGCATGGAATGTAATGTTTTAATACGTTCCAAAATCTTGCTGGCTCGTGTCTCAAATGTGTTTTTGTTTCGTCTCTCCATCTTGAAACATGGGAAGATGTTCGCAAGTGACTAGCTTCGCGTGCACCCTATATATTATATGTATATGCACATGTATGTGCATCATGTGTGCTATCTTTTTCGGGAGAATAGGTGGTTTATCCACCGGAAACCTACTCAACTTCCGATCTCGGTGAAACATTCCTGCCGCTCACGCAGCTCCAGCTAGGCACAAGGCAGCACGAATGGATGGAAAACACTCCAGCCTAGAGATGTTGCGATTTTTGCTGCCGCTTTGTGGCATCGAGGGGAAGCCAACAGCTGTTGATAGCCGTTGCTGTGGTGAAGGCCCCCTAATTAGATCATCGAAGCGGCTGATAACCCTGCTAACCACTTACAAAATGAGATGATCCCCCAAGAAGATGTTGAAATTGTGTGGAGCCGCACTCAGATCGCGATAAATTCCATCCTAATGTTTTTTTCCCCGCATCTTTGTTTGGGGTTCTTGTTTTTGGTTGTGCACTCCCGCCGACCTCTCCGCCGCCCGCCGCCGCCCGCCTGCTCACACACAACTTATTCACACACAACTTGTTCACACACAAAACTTACACACAACTTGTCCACACACAACTTGTCACCACACAACTTGTCCACTCACAACTTACTCACATACAACTTACTCACATACAACTTGTCTACACACAACTTGCACTTACTCACATACAACTTGTCCACACACAACTTACTCACATACAACTTGTCTACACACACAACTTGTCCACACACAACTTGTCACCACACAACTTGTCCACACACACAACTTACTCACACACACAACTTTTCCACTCACAACTTCCTCACATACAACTTGTTACCACACAACTTGTCCACACACAACTTCCTCACACACAACTTACTCACACACAACTTACTCACATACAACTTGTCACCACGCAACTTGTCCACACACAACTTACTGTACTCACACACAACTTACACATACAACTTGTCACCACAACTTGTCCACACACAACTTTGCGTGGCACTTCATCACATCGACCGCCACTTTGCGTGGCAGGCGTGACACTTATGGCATTGGACTGGCTCTGGTGGTGCGCTTGGGTCTCCGTTGGACGCCGTTGTCGCCGCGACTGTTGGCGTGGCAGGCGTGGCACTTGGTGACATCGACCGTCACTTTGCGTGGCAGGCGTGGCACTTGGCGACCTCTACCGTTACTTTGCGTGGCAGGCGTGGCACTTTAGGCACTGGACTGGCTCTGGTGGCGCGCTTGGGTCTCCGTTGGACGCCGTTGTCGCCGCGGCTGTTGGCGTGGCAGGCGTGGCACTTGGTGACATCGACCGTCACTTTGCGTGGCAGGCCTGGCACTTGTAACATCAGCTGTTTTGTATTGTTCTGCCAGGTACCGATTTCATCGCGCATGTGCTGTCGTTGCTCATTTCGATCCAGGCAGGGACATTTTCACGATGGCAGGCATGTTGCGAACATCCACGAAATCTTGACGATATTCCTTGCGTTTCTGCTTATTTCCTTTGATCTTTCATGTGGCCAGGTACTTTTCCGTCTTCATCACGCACACGCCGCCGCCTCCACTAGTAAAAAAGCAATCCGGCGTGCTTGCGGTCAGCAGGTTCGTTGTTCCACCTTTCGATACATACATACATACATATTTACATACATACATACATGCATACATACAATCTTTTCACACACCATCTTTCTTTGTCACACACAATCTTTCACATACCACTTTGTCACACACAACTGTTTTTACTTCTCGATCCTTCACCACCTCCTTTGTCTTTCCTTCCTTCTCCGTCCCGCTACAACAGTTGTTGCTCATTATTGGAAGAAGTTGACATGTGGGTTTATCCATCCCCATTGAAATTTCCCTATAGAGAATGAACCTACTCAAGTGACCCCCATTTTCTAGCTAGAAACTTCCCGCCCAGTCAATTTCCCTACATTTCCTGGGGAAAGTCGAAAAGGTCCTTCATAATTTTATATGTAGCTGTACCTGACCATTTTCTAGAGAGATAAGGGCTGGAAGAAAAAAAATCAACCGAACTCTTGTCCGAATGCTGCCTGGGTCATTCCTGGGGAATGCTTAAAAAGCCCCATACCCAGGGCCAAGTTCATCCTTCCATATCAAGTTATTTTCTAGACAGCTGCTAGATTGATACCAAGAGACAAATTGATTGTGCCATGCATTTTCTAGACCTCTTTTTTGGGGTGCCCAAAAGCATCACAAAATAGATCCAAATTCATCTAGGTTTTGCTGACATGTGACAAGATGCGTTTCAATGTTCTATTCCAAAAGTGTGAAGAAAGAACTTCAGGATTCAGTCAAGTGTGCCAAAATTTTGAGGTGCCAACAAAAGATGTTTTTTCACTCGCTTTGTTGGCGCGGGATTACAGGCTGAGTTTTTGGATTAAGTTTTGACGATAAATTTGTGTTAAATGACTTTTTTTGGGTGATTCCTGGGGAATATGGATTATCTGCCTTGGCAAGGATTGCACAATTCATTTTCTAAAGAAAACATTGTTCATTTCTGGTCCTCCATTTTTGAAACCATTTTTTTAGAGAACATTTTTGATTGCTCTTATGATGGCATTACAGATCATTTTCTAGACCCAAAGTGGTGAGGTGTACTCTCATGCACCTGTTTGTTTCAAAAAATACATGTCCAAAACATCCATACATCCCTTTAGAAAATGAATAGTCCAATCAAATGCAACGTGCAATTTTACTTGTTTTTTTCATTTTCTAGGCTTTGATTGGATCAGTTTTTTTCTAAGTAGAAAATGAGGGTAACTTGTGTTCAGCCAAAAATATCAATAGGGATGTTTATACGGTCCTTTAATTTGTAACACCCCCTGAATGGTCCCATGTATGTGTGATTCCCTTACTAAAAATGGTTTCTCGGGTGCTTAATATTCGGGGATTTCGGGGGATAGGACCAATCACTCACACTTGTCACACATGTCAAGACTTTCTCCCCCGAGCCTACGGCCTGTTCCATGTTATGTGATATTCGGCTATCTCTTCTTGGGCCCCCATAAGCCCAATTGTGCAGACCCATGTATCTCCGTCCGTGAGTGTCTTCATCTTTTGCTTGGATCTATCATTCACGGCTTGCTGGTTGATATCCCAATTTGGGTTGGTTGGACTTGATGATTTAGGTACCTTCTGGTTGGTCATGTTTCTGTTCTTTCTCCTATAATGGATTGTGCACCATGCACTTCCAATTTTCCTCGCCAGAAGGGTTCGGGGTCACCAGATCAAGCTGAGAGTTGTTCAGGTCTCACAACGTGGCAGCCAGCAGGGCAAACTGCAATGGTCACAATGCATTGCACAAGGCAGCGATATATGGTGCACTTGCCGGTGAACATAGGGATAGTCTCTCCGGTGTGATCAAACATGGTTTGCTGAGAAATCCCTCAACTACTGCAGGTTTGTACAGTCAGAGACCTTAGTCGTAGCGATTTGCCGTTTAGAAGTATAAACGATTGTGTTTTTCACCAAAAGATTTAAACAGGACACTTGAATTATTTGAGCAAGGCTGCTTCTGTCAAATAAAGCGCATGCTTGAAGCAAAATGAAGCCACCCCAGATGAATAACCCCAGGTCATGTAAATGATCATACATGGTACCTTTCCGATTTTTCAATATCGGAGTTTGGAGAGTTGCGGACGCCTAGATTGACCCGCAGTCGGAACTTGTCTGTGTTTTGTAAACAATGTTAGCTGTCAGGAAGCATCATTGAACCACTATCTAACTACAATCGCACCACTTTTGAAATGACTCTGACATTCTAATCACTGTTGGACCAACATCTATTTCCACATGCTTAAATCTCTTCATCCAGCAGCATTTCATCACCATTACATATTATATCCGAAAAAATAATCCCCATTGAACCACCAATTTCACCCTGCTCCCCCAATTTTTTCGTCCTGTCCCCTCGTCCCATGCCAGGCGGCCCAGTTCGGCTCTCAGGAGGCGTGTCAGCTGCTGCTGGAGGCAGGCTGCCGGTGTCGCGAGGCGATGTGCCAGGATCGCGATCGAAACTCACCCAGCAGCTGGGCATTTTTTTTGACGACCTCACTGCGACCGAAGCCTGGAATCATGATTTTTTATGGGGAATCATCCCAAAATGGCCGAACATTTCAGGTTAGTGAATTGATTATTATAATATGCCCAGATATAATGGTCAATATTAGGTTATAGTAGTGATATGTAATGATACCACACACACACATATATATATAATTATATATAGAGATGTGTGACTAATGCAAAACCATGGGAGTTTCCATAAATGATCTGTACCCCAATAGCTGGATGGTTTAGAATGCAAAATCCTATTAAGACGGATGATTTGGGGGTATCCCTATTTAAGGAAGCCTTCATATATCCCATGAACATCAATGGATGGAATATTGGGTATCCCCATGAACAAGTTCATTGTTGTCGCCATTTATTGGATATTATAGCTCCAACGTTCCATTAATATCCTCATTGAATCCTCACCATTGGGAAACCAAGAAGTGGATGTTTTCATTTTTTCGGAATGTGGAGAGCAGACAAAGATGTGAACAGCAATGGAACTCTTTGTTTTTAGTAACATGGTTTCCACATTGCATTAACCAGTAAATGTGGATAGTAAACACGCTGCATGTGATAGAGCTGACCAGAATTGGTGGTTAATGGGATGGCAAATGGGATCGTAAGTAAACATACTTAGGATATTATTGAGGAACCATCATTGTTGCTCCCAATAAGTGGAGTTTTCTGAATGATTTTGGGAGTGTGGTAAACCCTTGACCGTAAACCATCCCATAAACCAAACACTTGGTGTAATTTTATATCAGGCATCCCAACTGGGGGTTTACCACATCAACTCCCAAAAAGATCGAGAAGTAAATGCCCATAATGGTTAACTGAACATGTTTCATTTGTTTGGATGTTGCTTGTATTGATGCAATGAAGATTCTAGATCTTAAATAGACAGATTATAGATTCAAGGTATGGTAAGTATATGCATGTGCAATTGCTTTCAGATAGATACATGTACAGATTATAGACAAATAAATATAGAGAGAGAGAGACTTTTTGCAACTTTGGCTGGGTTTAAGCGGATATGTTTTTGCACAGTCAATGGGAACCGTTCCTTAAAGATCAAAGTAATGATGAGTCTGGAATAAGAAAAACAAAACAGGCAGCAACAATTTGTACAGGACATTGCCAAGCAAATCGTCCAAATAGCCTTTACATCGGCCTCCAGTTTTTGGTACCTCCGATAAATCAGTGACCTGTTTCATCATTGAAACATATTGAAACAATTTAAACATCGAAAAAAAACAACAACAAAAGTCTTGAGATTTGGAGGAAATTGTTCCCGCCACTTCCTGAGATTCCAAGTGCTCTCAGGTAGTTTGGCCTTCGCTGCGGGGCACCATAGCCTGGCTGGGGAGCTGCGGCACACCGAGGAATTTTTGGAAAATCACCAGTTTTTATGATATGTTTATGGGTAAATGGCCATTTTCAATAGCTTTTTGTATGTTTACCAGAGGGTACCTATTAAGAACGGTGATTTTCCAATAGAATGCAGGAAACATGTAGGACAATAGAAGAAACATGATATTAACTACAGTAATTCAAAAAACATCGATGGGTTTTGGGGCAGCTGAGTTGAGAGACTGATACCCCCAGTAAACTAACAAAACGGCATGAAAATCCTGGTGAGTGTTTGTATATTAATATATGTTTTGTAGGTTCACTGGATGGTATAGCCAGCAGTATGATATGTGCCATCATCAAGACTTGGGCAAATTGTCCACATTGGGGGATGGTCATCAATCCTGGGACGTGTGACCATACCACGTTTTGACCATGGCACACATGAAAAGCATTCTTGCATTGTTGTGTTCGAGAAAGTGGCATCGTTGTCACATTGCACATGGCAGTGGAGCAAAATCGAAAGTCTGGACAAGAATGGTGTTTCTCGCAAAATGTGGGTTTAATCCAGATATATGTAAATACATATGGCAGCTTTGGGGGGAACGTGATGAATTCCGGCCATATGTTCCATAAAACATAAAACCAATATAGATAGATAGATATTGATAAACCCCTGTAATGCATATAATATAAATCAGGATTCTGGGGCCTGGGTTTTAATTTTTGAGGGTTTCTGGGTGTTAAAATTGGTTTTTGAATGGTGCAGGATAGATATCAAAATGGTGTTGGCTCAGCACTATTTGTTAGTGGTGTTTTATCCAATTCTGCTCTGGTTTACATATGCGTGGTTTATTCAGGCAAACCCCGTCCAGGTCGGCCCAGGTCCGCCTAAGTCTGCCCAGGTCAATCCCAACACCCAGGTTCTCCCACAGGTTCTCCCAGGTTCTCCCAGGTTCTCCCAGGAAATTAATGATTTCCTGCGATTTTGTGGGTTTCCGGGATTTCCTGGGAGGAACCTGGGTGTTATTTTCTGCGATTTTGTGGGGTTTGTGGGATTTCCTGGGAGAACCTGGGTGTTCTTTTCTGCGATTTTGTGGGGTTTCCGGGATTTCCTGGGAGAACCTGGGTGGAAACAGTTGGGGGTGGGCCTGGGAGAGCTGCAAGAGTTAGTTCGGGGAAAAGTGGCTGGAGGGTGGCCCGCTATTTTGACCCGCAATTTCTAAATTTCTGCCGCGGGCGTTGCCGCCCCCTTTGGCCTGCAGGTTTGCCAAGCTTTAAAGTTTAGTTATAAGCATTACAGGGGTATAGCAAGATAGATAGATAGATAGATAGACAGATAGATAGAGAGATAGATAGATAGATTGATAGATAGATAGATACATAGATCGATAGATCGATAGATCGATAGATCGATAGATCGATAGATCGATAGATCGATAGATCGATCGATCGATCGATCGATCGATCGATCGATCGATAGATCGATCGATCGATAGATAGATAGATAGATCGATAGATCGATCGATCGATCGATCGATAGGTATATAGATAGATAGATAGATAGATGGATAGATAGATAGATAGATAGAACGATAGATAGATAGATAGATAGATAGATAAGTAGATAGATAGATAGATAGACAGATAGATAGATACATGGATAGATTGGTAGATAGATAGTTGCATACATACATACATACATACATACATACAGGTATGGGTTTGCCCTAAAATATGATGCCACTACACCTACTGATTACTCTTCTGAGATGAAGTTTTGTCAAACTACCTAACCCATGCTGTGGTGAAATCTCCATATTAGGGACTTGATCATAAAACGATGGGTAAACCTGGGTTGTTTGATACCATTTAATTGTGGTTGCCATCGATGGGGTTGTGTATATACATGTATGCATTTTAAATATATTGATATAACCTGTTTAATATATATATATATATACATGTATATATATATATTATGTATATGCCGTATATTGTTGTATATGTATGTACCACTAGCTAGCAGCAATATGTTTTGCAAGGTGGCTAAGAGAGTAAATAGGGATGTTCTTCAGATCATTTCAAGGTCCAGGTCGATTTATGATTTTGTTTGAATTAAGCTTAAAGGTATGTTTTCGATTTGTATGGAGCGGTGTTTTCCTGAACGGTACGCGGCGTGTTCAGGTGTCATTTGTTTCTGCTGGCAATAAATGGCTGCGGTTTGAAATAGTTTTTTCATGTTACTTTGGGATTCCAATTCCATATGAAAAAGTTGCTCCGTGGCTCCTGTGAATTTCCGTTGAAACCTTTGCCCCACACTTCGCAGGACCTGCTTTGGCTCACTCCGGCCGTCTACCGGGACCCGGGTGACCATCCGTGATGCGACCAGCGGGACGACGTGAGAACTTCCGCGTGACTGCCAGGTGGTTGCAGCCATATTTCCTTAGAAGATCATCCCACTTAGTAAGCGGTTAGTAACCCTGGTGGTGTTATCCTGTGTTTGTATACATAATATATATATAATATATATATATATACATAAAAAAAATTGTAATAATAATGATTTTTATAATAAGAATAATGTAGGCTCCTGATTAGTGTAGGGCCCCCCCCAAACTAATTTTGGTTACTGAACAGTGTAGAAATTTCAAAGGACCGGGTTCTGAATAATTAGTGTGGAATCAAAACAAATGATAGATTTCAATTGATTTTAATTTACTTTCAACTGATTTCTATTTACTTTCTATTGATTTCAATTGACTTCAAATTATTTTCAATTGATTTCAATTTACTTTCAATTGATTTCAATTGATTTCAATTTATTTTCACTTGAATTCAATTTATTTTCAATTGATTTCAATTTACTTCCAATTGATTTCAATTTACTTTCAATTGATTTCAATTTATTTTCAATTGATTTCAATTTACTTTCAATTGATTTCAATTGATTTCAATTTACCTTCAATAGATTTCAATTTACTTTCAATTGATTTTCAATTTATTTCAAGTTACGTTCAATTGATTTTCAATTGATGCCAACTTACTTTCAAATTATTTTCAATTGATTTCAGTTTAGTTGGAATTTATTTTCAATTGATTTCAACTTACTTTCAATTGACATCCCATAGTAATCCCATAGACATATCGTAGAAATATCATGGAAATCCCATAGGAACCTGCCATAGAAAGATCATAGAAATAACATGGAAATAGCATAGGAGCCACAAAGAAATCCCATAAGAATTCCCATAGTAATCCCATAGAAATATCATAGAAACATCATGGAAATACTTTGGCAACCCCACAGGAATCCAATAGAAATGCCACAGGAATCCAATAGAAACCCCATAGAGTTATCATAGAACATCAGGAAAAAAAACATAGAAATCCCAGAGGAATCCAATGGAAATCCAATAAGAATACCATAGAACTCTCATAGCACCCCTTCAGAAATCCCATAGAAACCTCCAGAAATATCACAGAAACATCATGGAAATCCCAAAGCAATCCAATGGAAATCCCATAGACATCCTTTTGAAACCCCATAGGAATCCCATAGAAATACCATCGACATCCCATAGAAATCCAATAGCGGTCCCAAAGAAATACCCTGGAAATACCATGGAAATCCCATAGGAACCCCACAGAAATCCCATAGAAAGATCATAGAAATAACATGGAATAGCATAGGAGCCACAAGAAATCCCATAAGAATTCCCATAGTAATCCCATAGAAATATCATAGAAACATCATGGAAATACTTTGGCAACCCCACAGGAATCCAATAGAAATGCCACAGGAATCCAATAGAAACCCCATAGAAATAAATATCATAGAAACATCATAGAAGTACCCTAGAAATCTCATAGGAACCCATTGGGAACCCAATAAGAATACTATAGAACTCCCATAGCATCCCTTCAGAAATCCCATAGAAATCCTCCAGAAATATCATAGAAACATCATGGAAATCCCATAGGAACACCATGGAAATCCAATGGTATTACCATAGACATACCATAAAAGAAAAAAACTTTAGCAAAGGAAAAAGGTAAAGGGAATGTTTGAAAAAAAACACCTCAGGAAGTAGCTGGACACAATAGGGGCACCCCCCAAATCAAACATACTATTGTGGACCAGGGTTGGTCATGGACTACCCCCTTGAAAAATTGTTTGGATTTTTTTTTAAAAAAAATAGGTACTAGTAAGGCAGCATATATTTTGGCAAATTGGGAATTTGTCAGAATTTCAAGTGAAAGAAGCAAAAAAAAGTACAGTAAAAGAAAAAAAACTTTGGCAAAGGAAAAGGTAAAGGGAATGTTTGAAAAACAAAAACACAGGAAGCAGCTGGACACAAAAGTGGACCCCTAAAACAAACATACTATTGTGGATCAGGGTTGGTCATGGACTACCCCCTAAAAAAATGTTTGGATGCCTTTTTTTTTATTGGGTTTTAATAAGGCTGCATATATTTTTGGAAATTGGGCATTTGTGAGAATTTCAAGTGAAAGAAAGTAAGAAAGTAAAAGAAAAAACACTTTAGCAAAGGAAAAGATAAAGGGAATGTTTGAAAAAAATCAGTCCAGGAAGCAGCTGGACACAATAGTGGAACCCCCAAGCAAACATATTATTGTGGATCAGGGTTGCTCATGGACTACCCCCTTGAAAAATTGTTTGAATGATGTATTTTCATTGTGTTTTAATAAGGCGTCCTATATTTTGGAAAATTTGACATTTCTGAGAATTTCAAGTGAAAGGAACTAAGAGAATAAAAGAAAAACGGCTTTAGCAAAGGAACAGGTAAAGGGAATGTTTGAAAACATATAACCCCAGGAAGCAGCTGGACACAATAGTGGGCCCCCAAAACAAACATACTATTGTGGAGCAGGGTTGCTTATGGACTACCCCCTTGAAAAATTGTTTGGATGCTGTTTTTTTAAATGGGTTTTTAATAAGGCATCATATATGTTGGGAAATTTGGCATTTGTGAGAATTTCAAGTGAAAGAAACTAAGAAAGTAATTAATTAAAAGAAATAGAACTTTAGCAAAGGAAAAGGCAAAGGGAATGTTTTTTTAAAAAAACATCACCCCAGGAAGCAGCTGGACACAATAGTGAACCACCCCAACAAACATACTATTGTGGATCAGAGTGTAATTTCAAGTGAAAGGACATTTGGAAATTTCAAGTGATCAAGTGAAAGAAACTAAGAAAGGAAAAGGAACATTCAAGGGAATGTTGGAAAAATCACATACATCAGGCATCAGGAAGCAGCTGGACACAATAGTGGACCAACCATACAACAAACATACATTATTTAGGATCAATATAATTTCAATCTTACTTTATTTAAAAAACATATATATATATATATATATATATTGTTAAAATATATTTTTCAAATAAAAAGCCAAGCCATTTTGGCTCAAGCGCCCCCCGGCTCGCTCTTTGGTCATCGGGGCGCATGGAACCCGCCACACTCACGCTCTCCGGCGTGGCGGTGGCGGGGGGGACGGACGGGGTCCACGCACGTGGCTCCAGCTGGGCGGCGAGGTGGCTCTGGCCAAGCCACCCCCGTCCTCTGAAGCCGCGCCCGTGGCCGCTCCGTGCACGCGCGCGGACGCGCCTCCTTCGCCTGCGGGGCCTCCTCGTCGTTCCTTTTCCTCGTCGCGGACCCGGAGCCCCAGCTGTTCCTCCTCCAGCGGTGCAGACCTTCGAAAACCAGCTGGGTGTCGCGGCTGCACCATGTTGCACCAGATTGCCTTATTGGATCTTATTGTTGGCTACCTGTAGTTACTGTAGATATACCATGATATATCTATAGTCTATTTATAGAGAGTCTATATCCAGAGACAGATTCAGATAGGCGGATGCATTGGCAAACCAGATATTATAATATTATATAATCATTATAGGAATCATTATAATATCTGGCTACTACATAATAATGGGAATCATTATAAAAAAAACACATAATTATAAGCCATTGTAATTACATCATAATTATAGGAATTCAGAGCGATCCGCACAAGGAGGCCACTTTTGCAGCCACGGCATCCCAAGATCGGTAGGGGTCATTGGGGTATCAATGGCCCAGTAAATTGGTGATGTTAGGAATATCTATTTTGATCCATTTGGAATCTATTTTCATCTACTCGGAATATTGATTTTAGGGTTTGATGATTTTGATCCATTCCCAGATTGCTTTTTCCCCTTGATCTTGTGTGTTTTCTTTGGGGAAAGTAATGATAGTAATAGATTCTGTTCCCCAAAACTTCGGCAGCCATCAAACGCTCCCAAGTGAAAGGATATTCTTTGCATGCCCACAAGTACTGACTGTACAGATGCTGCCCAGATATATTTTACGAAACAACAACTTTGCAAATTGCAGACTGAAATGCCAATTAGTTTATCTTTTAACACCCCAAAAACACACAAAAAATGAACTCTGTGGGAATTTCCTCTGCAGTATGGTGGTCGTTAGGTGGTATGTCTGCCAGCTGGCCGAGCTGCCCGGGGCCTGGAATGAAGGTCAAGGCCATGACGGCAAAAATGGATGATGTTTTTTCAGGGTTATAAAGTTATAAACTAATTATCAATGTGAGATCCAATGTTACTTAGCGACTGCAGCGGCTGGCGACGCCGCTGGTGGAGCCACCTCAGCGTTGCGGTCCAGCGAGCGGTGTGCTCCACGGCCCTCGGTGGCGACTGGATCGCGCCGGCTCTCCCGGCTGGCGAGGAGCCATCCCTGGCGCTGATCCTCGCCGGCGCTGAGCCAACAGGGCCCAGTCGCCTACCGCTTCGGTGACGCGCGCACCGCTGCAAAAAGGTGCGAGGAAAAAAAGAATATATAAATGAAATTCAAAAAAAATAATCATAAGTAATCACAAATTATTTTTTCAAAAATAAAATTTAAAATTTACATTAAACTTCAAAAAAAAATAAACCAAAAAACATAATTTAAAACAATCTAAAAATAAAAAAAATGAAAAAGCTTACCCCAAAATCATGGGGACACAATACTGTACCAGGGCATCATTTCCATAAATTCACAATTATTTTGGAGTCTGGGGACACAATAGTGTACCACCACACTAATCAGGACTCCACATTAATAGTAGTAAAAATAATAATAATGATATTAAAATTAATTCTAATGGTAACATTAATAACAATAATAACAATAATAACAAAAATAATAGTAATTGGGTCAACAGTTATAAATACCTCCGCTTACTAGCCAGTTAATAAGTATGATCCTCCAAGTGCCGTGGAGGGCCCTGGAGGACTGTCATTCTAATCTTACATTTGTTTGTTGGCGGTTGCTACAAGTGATGATATGTAACATTGTAAAATGATGTAAAATGGTGAATTTTCACACAGGAGAGATTGCCTGAGGGTATACTGTATTTACTGTATTGATACATATTGATACTGTCTGTGGGTGAGGGGGTGGGCTTTGTTGCGGGAGGATCAGTGCCGAATCAAAAGCCTAGCTATATTTGGCGCATCGTGGGCTACAACCCCCTTGCCAACAACTGCACAGAAAAGATGGTTTGACTTTACTTTTATCATGGGCATAATGGAGTATAATGGCAAAAAAACTTGGAATCAGTTTCCAGAGCTGTCCTTACTTGACAGCGTGCGTGAAACATGGCAAAACTTGAAATTAATTGGGTTTTACTGTTGCATTTTGTTTAAGCAACCATGATGGTTTCTGCTTTCCACAAGCCTTGGCGGATGGTATTTCTGCAATTCCCTGGAAGGTTTGCGGTAAAAAACGCCATTTTCCTGAAGTGGGACCACGATCTTCAACATGAGACAGCAAGGATCTCAAGAGCTTGGGACGTTGTGCCGGGGGCAGCTCAATCTTCGAAACGGAGTGTATGTTGAAAAACAAACCAGTCGAGTCAGGGGGAGCATGATGGCACCTCTTTTTGTTCCTGGCGAATATCCGTACAATTCCGTAGATCTCTAGGTTATCCCATCATGCCACATGATGCCACCATTATCGTGGCGTTCCTATTCTATACCCAACAACCAGCGGCTATGTCAGGGAATATCCCTCCAAAATAAGGCCTGAAACTAGCCGTTGTACAGTTCAAGAGTACCTTTTCGTGGACGACCACTTAGGTCGCTGACGACCACTGCCCTCAAGTCACTTCAAGATCTTCAAGTGCTTCAGCTGCGTGAAGCCATGGGCAGTTTTTGGGGTTTTGCAAGTCGCAGGAAAAATGGGGTTTACTTACGTCACGACCAAGTCACGACGTAAATGATCGTTAAGCAGCGGCAATTCACCATCCACATGGCTGTCTTTCAGCATCGGTGAGCTATGACCAGCTATGCCCAGCTGTGAATTTTGTTTGCCAACAAATATGGTTGCTTCCAAACACTTTGCAACTCGTTGATAGAGCTGAGTCCTTGACACAGATCGTAATCCTTCTCCCGCAGAGTTTTGGCATCTTGGCTCAACTTGGCTCCAGCCTTGCTGACAGCACTTTGCGAAGATCGCCGGGCCAGTCATGTGCGACATCGAGTCCAATTCCTTTGGACACTTCGAGGGCATCGGAGCAGAGCAGGTGCGTTTGGGATTCATCCGGACGCTTGGACATGACCCTTTTGTGTGCTGGGTTTGAAGAATTGGGCTATGTTGGACTACATAAATTGGGCTATGTTGGATGTGAGATGTTAGGAGCCAGCGCTTTTGGGGTATGGTTTCATACCCAACTTGCTGTCTCTGACAGCCTGGATGAGTAGTTTTGATATGTTTTGATGTTCAATCCTCTCTAGGATGATCCCAATTGGCATTTTCTTTCAGTTGAATTTTTGGGGACAAAGCGAAATGACCGCTTGGCGGTTGGGTTATGGCTGCCCGTGGCTTTATGATTCCTGTTCAACACTGTTCATGCATTTGTTTCTGAGCTCATTCAGCTGCCCCAAATAGCGGGACCGTGCTCATTTTTCACAGGATGTTCAGGCGAGTATATTCTTATGATCCCTTTGACATCCATATTAAATGCACGAGGATCCCGCAAAAGAATCCAAAAAGATCCAAAAAGTAGAATAAACAGTCCATGTTCCATGTCTTACCTAGGAATTCTTAAGCCAATGCCAACCCCAAATTAATGACCAACATCGACCAACACTTTTTTTTAAAAAAATAGTTAATTCAATAAATATCTACCGCTCTAGAAAACTGGGGAGTAGCAAAATCCTGGGTTAAAGGTTAACAGCAGCTAGTTCAAACTCAGCCAAGGTGCTTTTTAAGCTTCATAAACTATTGATTCAGTATACAATAAACCCATGCATCAATTATTTATGTTTGAATTGCAGGCACACCCTGGGAGTTTACTAAATGATATAAAAATAGGCAGACATATGATTGACTTCCCAAAAAAGATAGGAACAAAATGAGTGGACAAAAACCTATATTATGACATCCTATCATAATTAAAAAAGTGAAAACATTAGGAACAAAATAGGAAAACCAATAAAAAAACTTGTCAAAATCGCGGGTTTTCTCCACCATTTTTTCTTAAGTTTCTTGAGAGGCCAATGCTATTTTTTCATATGTTCCTAATTTTATTATTGCCTTGATTTACAATTTCCAATTGGTGCCTGGAATAGGCAAACATAAAATCATTTTCGATTATCTCAGTGATTCGTTTGAATTAAACCTTCTTAGATCAACTGAGATAAACATAGCCGGTTAGTTCACAAGAATTACCTTTAACTGTTTCACCGCTCGGAACGCCTCCATTGATAGTGGCACCACCTGGCCGTGGATGTTGTTCAACCGTTTCCATTTATTAGCTGATTATTAGACTTTCCTACAGATTTGCATATGTTTGCCATGTTATAATTTTAGGAAAGCAATGTCATAAACCATCCGTAGTATGACTCCATATTGTTGATACCACTCATAAAGATGGTGAATTTGGGGGCAGTTTACTATTTAACAGAGATATTTTTGCAAATTTTAACTGCGATTTACCATAAAGGTGGTGGAAGCCATCCCCAGATTTACTGGTTTTAGTTGTTTCTAGCACCTTTTGATGGTTTCTAATGGTTTCTACATGTCTTAATGGTTTTAACATGTCACCGTGGCACCGCAGGAAGGTCTATGGCATCGTGGCGTGTCAGGTGAGCGTCACCGCCCTGGCAGCGGCCTTGGCATGCGGACCCTTGCAGCATCCCATGGTCGCCATGGCCGTGTGCCTCGGCTTATCACTATCATTTAGTGAGGATTTGACTGGCTATTTTTTTGGGGGACTTGCTTTTATCATAAGATATGATCAGGTAATAGATCGATATATAGATAGATCGGTAGATAGATAGATAGATCGATTTATATATATATATACATACATAATACGGTGTTGCCGTATTGCTATGATCACATTGTCATGCATGTCATTGTATGCTTGTTGCCCGTTCTGTTTTTGGTTCTCGTAGATGGCCGTTGGCAAATTGGCCTGGATTTCCATTTGTGTAGGATTTTTGCTCTGGCCATCCAATTTCTTTGATATTATTGTATAATGTATATGTTGTCCCTGGAGCATGAACGCCACAAAATTGATTTGGGTGGTTGGTTGATCGAATCATAAACATGGCCGGACTTACATGTTTTTCCCATTGTTTTTTTGGGAGCCAAGGGTCCACCAATCATGACAATTTCAAGACAATTTCCAGGAAAATTGGGGAATCAGGTAGCCAGAGAGGCCAATTGCAGATGAAGATTGGCATGTTCATTCGCCATGCTCTATGAAGAAGCTGACAACAACAAGGGTCCCTGTAAAAAACGCCACCAATCTTACAAGGAGGGGCCCTCGGTTACGGACTGGTTTACAAAGTCCATAACCCCATCCAACTATAAATCTATCATGATCTATCCACCATAAATCCAGTTGTTATCATAGTAGTACTGTTAGTAATACTGTTATAAAGTAACTTATCGTGGTCCCTTCTGGGGTCTAAGCCGCTTTCAACCATGCCGCCTTGTACAGGAACTATCCAACTTGCTTCCACTGGGGATCTCTTCTTGCCACGGGCTTGGCTCTGTTGCTTTGCCAAGTTCTCACACCTCCATTTTCAGGCCCCAAAAAGAGCCCTCAGAATCACCTTGCCATCGTGGGCCACAAAACGTCTTTCCAGGGAAGAACAGCTACCCATTGAACTTCTACGGACTTTGCTTCCTCACTGCAGTCATCGCCGCTCGGTACCAATCAGGTGTCGGGATGCCATAGATGTAGCCATATTTTTCGGGACTATGATTCGGGGCAATAACATCAATAACTAGTTTCAGGTTGTTCCAAGTTTCTCCAACTACTTTCCAGGTATCTTCCACATGTTTCCAGGGCGTTTTCCAAGTTGTACATGTTTTTTCCATCAATTGTTCCAACAAGTTTTCCTCATGTTCCACCTTTTCCCAGCTTTTTCCAGCCATTTCCCCGTGTGGAACGGCCATTTTTCCCGGTCCCGGGTGGTCCCGGTGCCGGTGTCGTTCGTTCCGATCCGCCACCGAGGCGCTGGACATCGCGGTGCTCAGCGCCACGGTGGCGGCCGTCGGGCTGGGCGCGCTGCTGGCGGAGGCGGCGGTGATCACGGCGCTGCTGGTGACGGGACTCACCGTCTACACCTTCCGCAGCTTGGGACCCATTGGACGTTGGAAGCATTGGAGTTGTGTATATGCTATGTCCAGGATTTGGGGTGAGTTATGGTTTAGTTGTGGTTATGGGATATGATAAGAGGCGATTAAATGGTGTAATGGCTATTGAATAGGTATATCATTCTATGTTAGTTCGGACCGTTGAGCCATGTTGAGCCACCGTTCCGTTGGAAAGTGAGTTGGAGTGATGGTTAGAACATACTATAAGTACGATATACAATTCTCAACATGTTACATTGATTTTATTGAATATTGATATGACTAGCATTTAGTGAACAATTTCACATGAAAAGTGATAAGATACTATGTAACTAACGGTTTAATGGTCATTTAATGTTATTTAATGGGTAGTATAGCGGTATAACAAACTATTTGTTTGGATGAGTTTAATCATGCTTGGGACCGTTGAGTTGGAAGGTTACAGTTGTGGTTAGTTATGATATGTATTATATATTGCAACATGATGGTTTTTTGTTTTTTGTTTTTGATTGTGTATATATATATATATTTATTTATGGTGTTACTGACAATTATACGAAAAATATGACATGATAAGATATTATTTCATGGTTTAGTGTTGACTATGGTTGCCGCAGATCACTTGAACTAAATGCAGGTTTCTAGCTGGGAAAATAATCTAGCTATATAAATGGGAGATGATCCAGCATGCCATCTTTGATTACCGGAGTGTAGTTATGTTTACAACATGCTGCGTATATATATATATATATATTTGTGTACTTACTTACTTATTTATTTATTTATTTATTCATTTGTTTATTTATGTTTACATTTGTTTACTGCTAACATGTAATCATGGGACATGATATGAACTCTTTTTTTTAATTTAATGACTGTTTAATGAGATAGTAAAGGGATAACAATGTGATGGTCATGAAATGATAATGGTTAATAATTGACAACGATGGATAGCAATGGATACTCTTGCGGTTAGTCTATAGCTAGTCCTTGCTTCGTCGATGGACTTGAACAAGCTGTGTGATGGGGTGTGGTTGTTATTGTTTAGTGGCACTATGGATAGATTGTTGATGTTTATTGGGTAGTTATTCTTGGTTACCCTCCGGAAATCAAAAATGGCTAGCTGGGACACGCCCCAGCCAGCTAAAAAATCAAAGAAACTGGGTACATCCAAATCATCCAAGTCATTGAACCATTTTAGTATTGAAACCCGTGGTTTTGGGGGTATCCCTCATTTCAAGAAACCATTCATTATAGTTATCCTGCCAAAATCACCTCGGTGTTGACCCAAATCGCCCCAAATCGCCCCAAATGTGAGGCTCTAAGCGCGACTTTTCCTTCCTGGGTGCCATCCTTTGGCCCATGAGCTTCGCACTCTTCGGCTTTGGTCCCTTGAATTTTCGGAGAGTTTTAGAATATTTTCATCACAGAAAACTGATTAAACAAAAACAAAACGATGACATCATATAGCTGTTGGATTGAAACTGTTGATTTTGCCATATTTACAAGTTTTTGTATTTTTTGTCATGTCCGACCAACACATGCAGGGATTTAAGATGATTTCATCATCGAACATGGTGATTTTAACACTTCATCACAGGGACATGAATCATTGAACTAGTCATATGTTTGTGTCCCATCCTGGGATGATGATCCCAACTCGGATATGTTTCAGGTGTGCAGAAAACACCAACCACAGTTACGGTATTTTATGAGGAAAGTCCCAATCAGATGGAAGTTGGAAGTTGGTACTTTCCCACCACTGTGATATTACATATATATATATACATTTATATATATATATACATATATATATATATTTGTTTTTAGTGGGTTACTATATATATATATATATATTTTTAGTTGGGCACTATAGGTCACTCATCCCATCCCCAAGTTATATTATAGTTGAACCCGCATTGTCAGGGTCCCCTAATGTGTTTTATCCCCTACATCCACCATGGTTTCTAGGCCTTCTGAGCTGCATCTTCCCATCGCTGCACACTGGCGTGATGGGCTTGGTGGCAGCTTGGTGGAGGATCTGCGTCAACTGGGTTTTACTAGAAATCAATTGAAAAAAACACCACCTCCCATAAGTATATATATATACATATATAGCGCCGGACAACTACTTAGAACATTGGTTTTGGAATTCCAAAACGTGTTCTAAGTAGAGATCCTGGACCACTACTTAGAACATATATGTTCATATATGTTCTAAGTAGAGGTTTTGGGGGTTCCCCCGTGTTCTAAGTAAGAATCCCCCCAGCTATCTACGTGCATTTTGGAAAATCCTGTGTATATATAATATATTTTGAATATTGTAGTTGTCCGGCACTATATATTCATATAATAAAAACTTTCCAAACCTGATGTTCGAATCGTATGTACATCGCTATATATATATACACAGAGGTTTTGGGGGTTCCTCCATGTTCTAAGTAAGAATCCCACCAGCTATCTACGTGCATTTTGGAAAATCCTGTGTATATATAATATATTTTGAATATTGTAGTTGTCCGGCACTATATATTCATATAATAAAAACTTTCCAAACCTGATGTTCGAATCGTATGTACATCGCTATATATATATATATACACAGAGGTTTTGGGGGTTCCTCCATGTTCTAAGTAAGAATCCCACCAGCTATCTACGTGCATTTTGGAAAATCCTGTGTATATATAATATATTTTGAATATTGTAGTTGTCCGGCACTATATATTCATATAATAAAAACTTTCCAAACCTGATGTTCGAATCGGATGTACATCGCTATATATATATACACAGAGGTTTTGGGGTTTCCTCCATGTTCTAAGTAAGAATCCCACCAGCTATCTACGTGCATTTTGGAAAATCCTGTGTATATATAATATATTTTGAATATTGTAGTTGTCCGGCACTATATATTCATATAATAAAAACTTTCCAAACCTGATGTTCGAATCGTATGTACATCGCTATATATATATACACAGAGGTTTTGGGGGGTCCTCCATGTTCTAAGTAAGAATCCCACCAGCTATCTACGTGCATTTTGGAAAATCCTGTGTATATATAATATATTTTGAATATTGTAGTTGTCCGGCACTATATATTCATAAAAACTTTCCAAACCTGATGTTCGAATCGTATGTACATCGCTATATATATATACACAGAGGTTTTGGGGGTTCCTCCATGTTCTAAGTAATAATCCCACCAGCTATCTACGTGCATTTTGGAAAATCCTGTGTATATATAGTATATTTTGAATATTGTAGTTGTCCGGCACTATATATTCATATAATAAAAACTTTCCAAACCTGATGTTCGAAGCGTATGTACATCGCTATATATATATACACAGAGGTTTTGGGGGTTCCTCCATGTTCTAAGTAAGAATCCCACCAGCTATCTACGTGCATTTTGGAAAATCCTGTGTATATATACTATTATACACATATTCATATAATAAAAACTTTCCAAACCTGATGTTCGAATCGTATGTACATCGCTATATATATATACACAGGGTTTTTGGGGGTTCCTCCATGTTCTAAGTAAGAATCCCACCAGCTATCTACGTGCATTTTGGAAAATCCTGTGTATATATAATATATTTTGAATATTGTAGTTGTCCGGCACTATATATTCATATAATAAAAACTTTCCAAACCAGATGTTCGAATCGTATGTACGTCGCTATATATATATACACAGAGGTTTTGGGGGTTCCTCCATGTTCTAAGTAAGAATCCCACCAGCTATCTACGTGCATTTTGGAAAATTCTGTGTATATATAGTATATTTTGAATATTGTAGTTGTCCGGCACTATATATTCATATAATAAAAACTTTCCAAATCTGATGTTCGAATCGTATGTACATCGCTATATATATATATATACACAGAGGTTTTGGGGGTTCCTCCATGTTCTAAGTAAGAATCCCACCAGCTATCTACGTGCATTTTGGAAAATCCTGTGTATATATAATATATTTTGAATATTGTAGTTGTCAGGCACTATTCATATAATAAAAACTTTCCAAACCTGATGTTCGAATCGTATGTACATCGCTATATATATATATACACAGAGGTTTTGGGGGTTCCTCCATGTTCTAAGTAAGAACCCCACCAGCTATCTACGTGCATTTTGGAAAATCCTGTGTATATATAATATATTTTGAATATTGTAGTTGTCCGGCACTATATATTCATATAATAAAAACTTTCCAAACCTGATGTTCGAAGCGTATGTACATCGCTATATATATATACACAGAGGTTTTGGGGGTTCCTCCATGTTCTAAGTAAGAATCCCACCAGCTATCTACGTGCATTTTGGAAAATCCTGTGTATATATAATATATTTTGAATATTGTAGTTGTCCGGCACTATATATTCATATAATAAAAACTTTCCAAACCTGATGTTAGAATCGTATGTACATCGCTATATATATATATATACAGAGGTTTTGGGGTTCCTCCATGTTCTAAGTAAGAATCCCACCAGCTATCTACGTGCATTTTGGAAAATCCTGTGTATATATAATATATTTTGAATATTGTAGTTGTCCGGCACTATATATTCATATAATAAAAACTTTCCAAACCTGATGTTCGAATCGTATGTACATCGCTATATATATATATACACAGAGGTTTTGGGGTTCCTCCATGTTCTAAGTAAGAATCCCACCAGCTATCTACGTTGCATTTTGGAAAATCCTGTGTATATATAATATATTTTGAATATTGTAGTTGTCCGGCACTATATATTCATATAATAAAAACTTTCCAAACCTGATGTTCGAATCGTATGTACATCGCTATATATATATATACACAGAGGTTTTGGGGTTCCTCCATGTTCTAAGTAAGAATCCCACCAGCTATCTACGTGCATTTTGGAAAATCCTGTGTATATATAATATATTTTGAATATTGTAGTTGTCCGGCACTATATATTCATATAATAAAAACTTTCCAAACCTGATGTTCGAATCGTATGTACATCGCTATATAGAGGTTTTGGGGGTTCCTCCGTGTTCTAAGTAAGAATCCCACCAGCTACCTACGTGCATTTTGGAAAATCCTGTGTATATATAATATATTTTGAATATTGTAGCTGTCCGGCACTATATATTCATATAATAAAAACTTTCCAAACCCGATGTTCGAATCGTATGTACATCGCTATATAGAGGTTTTGGGGGTTCCTCCGTGTTCTAAGTAAGAATCCCACCAGCTATCTACGTGCATTTTGGAAAATCCTGTGTATATATAATATATTTTGAATATTGTAGTTGTCCGGCACTATATATTCATATAATAAAAACTTTCCAAACCTGATGTTCGAATCGTATGTACATCGCTATATAGAGGTTTTGGGGGTTCCTCCGTGTTCTAAGTAAGAATCCCACCAGCTATCTACGTGCATTTTGGAAAATCCTGTGTATATATAATATATTTTGAATATTGTAGTTGTCCGGCACTATATATTCATATAATAAAAACTTTCCAAACCTGATGTTCGAATCGTATGTACATCGCTATATAGAGGTTTTGGGGGTTCCTCCGTGCTCTAAGTAAGAATCCCACCAGCTATCTACGTGCATTTTGGAAAATCCTGTGTATATATAATATATTTTGAATATTGTAGTTGTCCGGCACTATATATTCATATAATAAAAACTTTCCAAACCTGATGTTCGAATCGTATGTACATCGCTATATATATATACACAGAGGTTTTGGGGTTCCTCCATGTTCTAAGTAAGAATCCCACCCGCTATCTACGTGCATTTTGGAAAATCCTGTGTATATATAATATATTTTGAATATTGTAGTTGTCCGGCACTATATATTCATATAATAAAAACTTTCCAAACCTGATGTTCGAATCGTATGTACATCGCTATATATATACACAGAGGTTTTGGGGGTTCCCCCGTGTTCTAAGTAAGAATCCCCCCAGCTATCTACGTGCATTTTTGGAAAATCCTGTGTATATATAATATATTTTGAATATTGTAGTTGTCCGGCACTATATATTCATATAATAAAAACTTTCCAAACCTGATGTTCGAATCGTATGTACATCGCTATATAGAGGTTTTGGGGGCTCCTCCGTGTTCTAAGTAAGAATCCCACCAGCTATCTACGTGCATTTTGGAAAATCCTGTGTATATATAATATATTTTGAATATTGTAGTTGTCCGGCACTATATATTCATATAATAAAAACTTTCCAAACCTGATGTTCGAATCGTATGAACATCGCTATATATATATACACAGAGGTTTTGGGGGTTCCTCCATGTTCTAAGTAAGAATCCCACCAGCTATCTACGTGCATTTTGGAAAATCCTGTGTATATATAATATATTTTGAATATTGTAGTTGTCCGGCACTATATATTCATATAATAAAAACTGTCCAAACCTGATGTTTGAATCGTATGTACATCGCTATATATATATATATATACAGAGGTTTTGGGGGTTCCTCCATGTTCTAAGTAAGAATCCCACCAGCTATCTACGTGCATTTTGGAAAATCCTGTGTATATATAATATATTTTGAATATTGTAGTTGTCCGGCACTATATATTCATATAATAAAAACTTTCCAAACCTGATTTTCGAATCGAGTCATCGCTATATAGAGTTTGGGGGTTCCTCCGTGTTCTAAGTTAAGAAGCCCACCAGCTATTCTACGTTGCATGTTGGGAAAATGCCTGTGTAATATAATATATTTGAATATTGTAGTTGTCCGGCACTAATATTCATAAATAAAAACTTTCCAAACCGATGTTTCGATCGTATGTACATCGCTATTATAGAGGTTTTGAGGGTTCTCCGTGTTCTAATAAGAATAACACACAGCTATCTACGTGCATTTTGGAAAAATCCTGTGTATATAAAAATATATTTGATATTGTAGTTGTCCGGCCACTATATATTCATTAATAAAAAACTGTCCAAACATGATGTTCGAATCGTATGTTACATCGCCTATATAGAGGTTTTGGG